TACAAATTGTAGACTTAAGTACACGAGTAGGCTGGTTATTTTCCTGTCAGGCCGACCTAAACTGTACACTGATTGAAAATGATCCATTGGTCAACATTTAGTACAAAAAATTTTGAAGCATTGTGATAAACCTTGAGATATGCAAAAGTCCAACACAGACGTACCTGTGGGTGAAAGATGTTGAAATTCCGCTGGAAAGTCACTCACCACCACCATTTAGCCTATATACAAATTCAGTTAATTTTCTTCCTGCGCCATTTATTACGTGATCTTTAGGATTTATAGATTGTAAAATAATTGAGTTGTTAAATCCGGTTAGGAAATCAAGCACGAATTAAAGTCGTCATAATTAGTAATTCATCATATATGATCAAATAATACTCTAAAAGTTCTGAGACCCTAACAAAAGTATAGGTTGTTTTATCTGCTGAGTTCGTCTATATTAAGACTTAATATCTTAACAACGTAGTTATAAATTTACAAAAATTTAGAACTACGTATTATAACTGAAATAAAATCGGGAAAACGATTACAGTAGTTTAAAACTGCAAAACTTCTCATTCAGGAATATCAACAATTCATGACCATGACCATGAATTATACTACGAATAGCATCTGAGGAATAGATTATCCAATTATTAAAAGTTGAATTTGTTAAATTTGTTAAGTTGTAGGTTGGCAGTCTCAATACAACCAAATACAAGCAATGTTTGGTTTTCAGATAACCAGGGGCCATATTCTGGTCACCGTCTCGGTCTCTCGTCTCTCACAAGCCAGTCACTGATTGGCTAATCCAAATGATTAGCCAATCAATGAATGATTGTATTCGATCTGTGACCAGAATACGGCGCCAGATCGAATACAATCATTTATCAGACAGACCATAAACATTCTATGCCACCAAACCTCCCAAAAAGGATTTTTACACGCATTCAAACCACATATGACTTACTTTATCATATATAATTGCGTGAAAAAGACGATCTCTCATTTAACTGTTCTGTAAAAGAATCTAGCAAAGAGTTGCGTAACTTTCCCGGCTTTTATGAGTTTTTATTTTAAAAATAACATTTCTATTTGTGACAGCAAGAATGTTGTGCAAATTTAGCACCGTAGCTTGTATATATAAGGAGCATTGATGCTATTTAAATTTTGTGAAAGGTCAAGGAGATGGATAGATGGTGGTCACGTGATATATCTCGGGAGGGGTCAGACTTAATAAGATTTTACTTGTTAGCATTTACAGTGTTTTATAAAATTCATATCCGCTCTCAAAATTAAGTCTTGCTATTTTATAATAATTAAAAATATATTAAGTTTTTATAACAGATGGCGCCACGTGCAATTTTAGTTACAGTAGACCCTCGATTATCCGGACCTCTATTATCCGGATTGTTCAAAATAAACAATAATTTTACGAATTTGCTGGTTTGCACTTGGCGAATTACGATACTGTTTATGTACATGATGGAATGAATAACTTTATTTGTTTCAACAACGTCTCACCCAGCACAGTGGTGGTAAACTCAAATATATTTTGCGTCATAATAAAAATATAACTTGACATACGTATTTATAAATAATTTATATTCAAATTACATCATTTCTATGACCAAGGGCGGCGTATGGGCAACGTGGGCCACCACCTATGCCTCGTGGTCCGAAGGGCCTCACGCCTCGAAGGGTTATGCATCATTTAAAAACCGCGAATGCGACGAAAAAATTTTACTCATCATAAAACGATAAATAGTTTGTCAAATTTTTATTTATAAAAATGCAGTTTCAACTGCTTTTTATTTTATAAAATCCGTCTTCTTGCGCCACCAGAGGACCTTTTAAACAATAAGTAGTCTGTTAGCGCTGGTCAGTAGAAGTCCAAATTCAATATGAACGTTTGTTTCTTGAAAAGTTGATCACGATTTAAATACAGTATTTATTTTTAATATTACCGATATGTCATCAAAACGAAAACGTGTGGTATTATCATNTTCAGAAAATTGATCAAATTGAAAATAGTTCGTTTGATTTTCGGCAATTCTCTTCAGCGGTAGGTGTTATATAACAATTACTATGGTTATTGAAATATTGGATGTAAATGGGGTTTGCTTGCAAAACCTCCGCTGACGAAGTCGCGGGTAACAGCTAGTTTTTTAAATAAAATCTCATAAAAGCCGGGAAATTTACGCAACTCGTTGCTAGATGTTTTAAGAACAGAAAACTTAATTTTTTTTGTTGTTGTCGAAACCGTGTTGTTATTTATGTTTGTATACTGGCACAATGAAGTGTCCTTCTTTATCAACACTTGGCAAGTTTTCAATCTTTATTAATTAATTTTTATTTTTAAAAAATTAATTAATTAATTTTTTTTATTAATTATTGATAAAATACCATTTCAAAAATATTTTTTGCTTTTTTGTTTAACATTTTTAAAATTTAATAAATGCTTACGATGCAATCGAGAACTAGGACTATAACTAAATATACAGAAGGAATACGATTTCTCAGAAGAAAATGTGGTATTCTTTCTATTTTTCTAAAATTTACAAGAACCTATTTGACACCTAACTATTTGAACTATTTTGACACCTAATACCAGACAGTGTAACACAACATTATTATTATTTCGTCTCCTTTCTACATTAATGGCGACTTCACTTAATTAGTCAGATTAAGATCCTTGATAAACATTTGAACTTGGTATTTAGACAGAATTTAGAGATTAAATACCATTAAGTTATTATTGATATTAATCCCAATGTTAGTAATTTTATCCAATAAGAAAGACCAGAATACTTCATTACCTGAAAGGCATCTGTACAGCACTTTCCGAGTTAGAAATTCAGCTCTTCATGTTATTGCTTTCCTCTTCTAATTTTCCTGTTATAATAAGCCTAACCAGGCCAAACGGTTAGTAACAAGTTCTATTTTATCGGATAAATTTGATAAAGAGGTTTCTTAATGATTGAAAAGTCATTATCTTGCTCTTCATGAGACAAAAAATAAGATTCCAAACGTTTCATCAAGGTTACTAAGAAAGTCGTCATTGTAGTCACGTTTTCGTTTTAGAAAACTGTACCCGATAAGGTGTCGCTTCGATCGTTAAGCGGCGAGAGTTGCATAAAACGTGTTCATTTTTAAAAGTTTTTTTGTGGTTTTTATTTAGTTAATTCAATTTTACTTTTTGTGTTTTTTTTTTATAATATGCGATTGTTGGATTCAGCTTTAGATCATATATTTTTAAAGGCACACGATGAAAATCGGATGGTTTTTACGAAGAAGAGGCAGGTGAATATGGAATCGATGGATTTCTTGGATAGACCTTCATTATGCCTGTAACCTGCTTTGTTTCTGACTGCAAAAGCGGTTATAAAAGCAACGAGAGCGAAGAGAAGAAACATTTCTTTAAACCAGACAAAAAATTCTGAGAGTTCCAGAAAAGAAAAATTTTTAGAAAAGATAGGGAATTAAGTTAGAATTCTAACATTTTTTATGTACATTTTGAGGAAATGCTCATAGTAAAACTTTTTAAACGTCTTATAAAGAGTAAACTAATGGAAAAAGAATGAGATAAATGTGTACCTCAACATTCAATGCGTATCCAACAATATTTTCCCTCAACCTCTTCCAACGAACGATTACTAATATGTAATCGTTGTTGGAAATTGTTATTAGACCTACTATTTAGTTTAGAACACCAAATTTTTCATACTTATTCTCTGCGACCCTAAAGAAAATATACATCTCCATGAAATCTGGACGTCCCATTCTTCTGATTCGATCTCCTTGATACTTCATGATAAACATAACAATGACAGGCTAAAATAACCAAATTTGTAATATGGTTTTAATTTTAACATTTATCCTTCTTACTTTTTGATTGGGTAACTTCGGACATATCTGCTAGTTACTAATAAAAACAAGTAATTACGAACTCTAATAAAGATATAAATTTTAAAAATATTCAAAATTAATTTGATTATTCTTAAAATTCGCCGAACATTTTCATATACAGGTAACCCTCGTATAACACGGCACTTCTATAGCACGGGTTCACTCTAACACGGTTCGAAAATTGGGAACATCCCCCGTATAACACGGTGCTTTTATAGCACGGGTTCACTCTAACACGGTTTGGGAATTGGGTAAAACTCTCGTACAACATGATATGTAATAAAGGGTGCGTTCTTTTATATCCCCGCGCGAGCATTCTAATTTTTTTTCGTGGCTACTTTGAATGCTCTTTCAACAAATAATCCATTTAATGGTTAAATTATACAATTGAACCCTTCTTTTGCCTCTAAAAGCTCATTTTAGAATTATAGATTCCTCCACACAATACTATCAATAGTGCGGGCGCCGCCATCTTTCTTTCACCGTCGTTTCTAAATGCCTTCAAATGGCAGCGCATTCCCGTTGCAGAGCGACCGCTATTAACGAACGCACCCACAAACTGTTACGAGTTGATGATGTTCATGCTGAGATCATCATATAAAATGAATAATCCTCTGGTAAAATATTTACTTAAATAATAAATAAGTATTTTACCTATGAAAAAAATGAATAATAAATCCGATTTAAATAAGGATTTAACAACATGTTTTTTAATTTTTGGAACCTAACCTCCTTTTCGCACTAGTTCTTTGTTTCGTATAACACAGATTCGTGTAACACAGCAATTTTTTGGAACGTAACTTCTGTGTTATACAGGGGTTACCTGTATATAAAAATATTTATAACAATTTGTCTGAAATGTTATCAATTTAATACACCTAAGTACTCAATGAAGACTAAACGTTGTTGAAAACAAAACATCGCATCTAAAATAGTACAGTAGAAGCCATTCTCAGGCTGAGCCTTAATCCTCTCCCCTCCCCAAGGAAGGAATTTCGAAAATTTCCTTCTTAGTGTGCGTTTTCATGATGTACCCTAACTGTGTACCAAATTTCACCTCTTTCAGTTCAGCGGTTTGGCTCTGGGCAATGATGAATCAATCGGTCAATCACTCAGTCAGTCAGGACAAGTAATTTTATATATTTAGATCATATGCAGAGATAAATACTCTTGATAAACAAAATTTAATTTAATATATAAACCTTGTGCAATGTTAATAAAGAATTTTTCACTTTTTATACTGTCAGTATTTTTATTCAAAAATCAGCATTTTTCTACTGACACCCCATACTAATGGTTGGCAAGTATGGCAACATCCTTCATAAACACTATTAAACATGAGTTTCAATGCACTATTTACTTTCTTACAGCTGATTATGCCACCCAAGAAACGCTTTCTTTATGGAAAGACCACTGCTGCTAAAAAAAAGAAAGCAGCAAGAGCAGCCGAAACAGAAGAGCAACGCATTCAAAGACTTCAAACAGAAGCTGCAAGACAAGCTGCATATAGACAACGTGAAACTTTTGAACAACGTCAAAGCAGACTTGAAAGAGAAGCTCAGAGACAAGCTAAACGTAGAAAATGTGAAACTTTTGAACAACGTCAAATCAGACTTAAAAGAGAAGCTCAGAGACAAGCTAAACGTAGACAACAAGAAACTCCTGAACAACGTCAAATCAGACTTAAAAGAGAAGCTCAGAGACAAGCTGAACGTAGACGACGAGAAACTTCTGAAGAACGTCAAATCAGACTTGAAAGAGAAGCTCAGAGACAAGCTAAACGTAGACGACGAGAAACTTCTGAAGAATGTCAAATCAGACTTGAAACAGAAGATCAGAGACAAGCTAAACGTAGACGACAAGAAACTTCTGAAGAACGTCAAATCAGACTTGAAACAGAAGCTCAGAGACAAGCTAAACATAGACAACGAGAAACTTCTGAAGAACGTCAAATCAGACTTGAAAAACAAGCTCAGAGACAAGCTAAACATAGACAACGAGAAACTTCTGAAGAACGTCAAATCAGACTTGAAAAACAAGCTCAGAGACAAGCTAAACATAGACAACGAGAAACTTCTGAAGAACGTCAAATCAGACTTGAAAAACAAGCTCAGAGACAAGCTAAACATAGACAACGAGAAACTTCTGAAGAACGTCAAATCAGACTTGAAAAACAAGCTCAGAGACAAGCTAAACATAGACAACGAGAAACTTCTGAAGAACGTCAAATCAGACTTGAAAAACAAGCTCAGAGACAAGCTAAACATAGACAACGAGAAACTTCTGAAGAACGTCAAATCAGACTTGAAAAACAAGCTCAGAGACAAGCTAAACATAGACAACGAGAAACTTCTGAAGAACGTCAAATCAGACTTGAAAAACAAGCTCAGAGACAAGCTAAACATAGACAACGAGAAACTTCTGAAGAACGTCAAATCAGACTTGAAAAACAAGCTCAGAGACAAGCTAAACATAGACAACGAGAAACTTCTGAAGAACGTCAAATCAGACTTGAAAAACAAGCTCAGAGACAAGCTAAACATAGACAACGAGAAACTTCTGAAGAACGTCAAATCAGACTTGAAAAACAAGCTCAGAGACAAGCTAAACATAGACAACGAGAAACTTCTGAAGAACGTCAAATCAGACTTGAAAAACAAGCTCAGAGACAAGCTAAACATAGACAACGAGAAACTTCTGAAGAACGTCAAATCAGACTTGAAAAACAAGCTCAGAGACAAGCTAAACATAGACAACGAGAAACTTCTGAAGAACGTCAAATCAGACTTGAAAAACAAGCTCAGAGACAAGCTAAACATAGACAACGAGAAACTTCTGAAGAACGTCAAATCAGACTTGAAAAACAAGCTCAGAGACAAGCTAAACATAGACAACGAGAAACTTCTGAAGAACGTCAAATCAGACTTGAAAAACAAGCTCAGAGACAAGCTAAACATAGACAACGAGAAACTTCTGAAGAACGTCAAATCAGACTTGAAAAACAAGCTCAGAGACAAGCTAAACATAGACAACGAGAAACTTCTGAAGAACGTCAAATCAGACTTGAAAAACAAGCTCAGAGACAAGCTAAACATAGACAACGAGAAACTTCTGAAGAACGTCAAATCAGACTTGAAAAACAAGCTCAGAGACAAGCTAAACATAGACAACGAGAAACTTCTGAAGAACGTCAAATCAGACTTGAAAAACAAGCTCAGAGACAAGCTAAACATAGACAACGAGAAACTTCTGAAGAACGTCAAATCAGACTTGAAAAACAAGCTCAGAGACAAGCTAAACATAGACAACGAGAAACTTCTGAAGAACGTCAAATCAGACTTGAAAAACAAGCTCAGAGACAAGCTAAACATAGACAACGAGAAACTTCTGAAGAACGTCAAATCAGACTTGAAAAACAAGCTCAGAGACAAGCTAAACATAGACAACGAGAAACTTCTGAAGAACGTCAAATCAGACTTGAAAAACAAGCTCAGAGACAAGCTAAACATAGACAACGAGAAACTTCTGAAGAACGTCAAATCAGACTTGAAAAACAAGCTCAGAGACAAGCTAAACATAGACAACGAGAAACTTCTGAAGAACGTCAAATCAGACTTGAAAAACAAGCTCAGAGACAAGCTAAACATAGACAACGAGAAACTTCTGAAGAACGTCAAATCAGACTTGAAAAACAAGCTCAGAGACAAGCTAAACATAGACAACGAGAAACTTCTGAAGAACGTCAAATCAGACTTGAAAAACAAGCTCAGAGACAAGCTAAACATAGACAACGAGAAACTTCTGAAGAACGTCAAATCAGACTTGAAAAACAAGCTCAGAGACAAGCTAAACATAGACAACGAGAAACTTCTGAAGAACGTCAAATCAGACTTGAAAAACAAGCTCAGAGACAAGCTAAACATAGACAACGAGAAACTTCTGAAGAACGTCAAATCAGACTTGAAAAACAAGCTCAGAGACAAGCTAAACATAGACAACGAGAAACTTCTGAAGAACGTCAAATCAGACTTGAAAAACAAGCTCAGAGACAAGCTAAACATAGACAACGAGAAACTTCTGAAGAACGTCAAATCAGACTTGAAAAACAAGCTCAGAGACAAGCTAAACATAGACAACGAGAAACTTCTGAAGAACGTCAAATCAGACTTGAAAAACAAGCTCAGAGACAAGCTAAACATAGACAACGAGAAACTTCTGAAGAACGTCAAATCAGACTTGAAAAACAAGCTCAGAGACAAGCTAAACATAGACAACGAGAAACTTCTGAAGAACGTCAAATCAGACTTGAAAAACAAGCTCAGAGACAAGCTAAACATAGACAACGAGAAACTTCTGAAGAACGTCAAATCAGACTTGAAAAACAAGCTCAGAGACAAGCTAAACATAGACAACGAGAAACTTCTGAAGAACGTCAAATCAGACTTGAAAAACAAGCTCAGAGACAAGCTAAACATAGACAACGAGAAACTTCTGAAGAACGTCAAATCAGACTTGAAAAACAAGCTCAGAGACAAGCTAAACATAGACAACGAGAAACTTCTGAAGAACGTCAAATCAGACTTGAAAAACAAGCTCAGAGACAAGCTAAACATAGACAACGAGAAACTTCTGAAGAACGTCAAATCAGACTTGAAAAACAAGCTCAGAGACAAGCTAAACATAGACAACGAGAAACTTCTGAAGAACGTCAAATCAGACTTGAAAAACAAGCTCAGAGACAAGCTAAACATAGACAACGAGAAACTTCTGAAGAACGTCAAATCAGACTTGAAAAACAAGCTCAGAGACAAGCTAAACATAGACAACGAGAAACTTCTGAAGAACGTCAAATCAGACTTGAAAAACAAGCTCAGAGACAAGCTAAACATAGACAACGAGAAACTTCTGAAGAACGTCAAATCAGACTTGAAAAACAAGCTCAGAGACAAGCTAAACATAGACAACNTGTCGAATGGTGCATACTCGGTAAGTAATCCTACAATTTTTTGTTTATAGCGTAGTTTATACGGATTATTTCCAAAAATATATATACGTATTTTGGAAATGTTGAGTCGGATTAGTCTAGAATCGATTAATTTTATGGAAGAAAACCTTTCAAACAGCCGTAGTCCGTAAACTTCACACGTGTCGGGCTGTGATTGGCTGTGATTCTTACAAAATTGATTCATAAAGAACGGAACGTATTTACCGTCTTATAGGGGGGTCGACTGTACTCAACCAGAGGTGTCCAGCCCGCAGCCCAATAAACATGTAAACAAAACCGACAAATGTTTTAATTTTTTTTAATATTTATGGTTAAATAGATCTTCTGTTATGCAAATATTGACCCTTCCAACCTTTCTCACTTCTTTATCTTTTGTCCTTTCTCTCCTTTCCCCGCATTTGGGTCTATAATCTTCTGAGTCACAACTCCAGCTTTATTTAATATTTCTTCCAACGTTGCAAGATTTAGCTACATTGCGCCAAATATGGCTACGTGTTTTTTGTTTGACGTAAAAAATATTATTTGGCGCTTTGGCTACTTTTGGGCTACATATTATTCATAAATATATTAGTTGAATAAAAATGCACTTTAAAATGGTGTTTCGTCGCTTTTTATTAATTAGAGACCCAAATAAAACAAATATTTGTGTTTTTCAAATAAATTTTCGTTTGTCTCTTTTATAAAATGAATTTATCTATTTTTAAGTAAAAATTGAAAGTGTCTGTAGAAGTAATTTTTAAAATATCCTTTTTCGTGATAAAGTTTTAATACTTATTATTATAATCTACACATGTTAGTCCTTAAATATACTTGTATATTGGGCCACAAGTCTATATTATATATACTTGTGGCCCAAAACGCCTTGACTTCTTCCAATGTGGCCCAAAGAAACAAAAAGGTTGGACACCCCTGTATTCAGCTAACTCGTTATTATTTATTTTACAATTACCGTATGTATTATTATTTTGAATTCAAAGTTTCATCAGTACTCTAGGTTGTAGATTGGATGGAGTATTTGTATATGGCAATGCGACATTTGTATACGATGGCGATCTGCAAAGGAGAAGTATGCCTCCCGAGACAACATTTTATAGAGAAACTGGCCATTATTTAGATGTTATAATGTGAATAAAACCCGAAAAATCTAATGCGATCAGCCGTGAAACCGAATGGTCACGTAACAAAGCGTGAACCAACGACCAAAGGTGGTTTTAGCCAATCTGCCACTGATGGGCTCTCGTTGTAGATTGCAATGAAAAACTAGTGCTTGTTGGCAGATAAAATGGCAGCCTACTGCTCTAAAGTAGTGTTTTTCAACCTGTGGGTCGCGACCCCCAGGGGGGTCGCAAAGCCTTACACAGGGGGTCGCGGGTAAAAGAAAAAGACAAGTGTTTGTAAGTCCTACACTACAATAAAAGAAAACTACAATCTCAGTGAGAAAGCTGTGCCTGTTTATTTTACAGTACAATTGGTTTTTTGATCAATATTTAGGTCTCAACAGAAAGAAACTTAAATACGTAGTTTCTAAAATCACTGACATAGTTTTAATATGGCCCTGGGGGGCCAGAATTTTTTAACTTGTAAAGGGGTCGCTTATTGAAGAAGGTTGAAAAACACTGCTCTAAAGGATCAGAATGTGTCGACAATGTGTCAACAGTTTTTAACGTTGTGCCCACAGGGCAAAACGTTAAAAACTAGTGCATATTTTAAATAAATTACAATTTTTCTCTTGTTTCTAATCATTCGTATGTATTAAATTTCTAATCCTTAATATTTTGTTTAATCATACTTTTGTACTAGAATTAAAATTAAATATTTTTATTTTATTGAAATGACCTTTCTTTCAAATCCCAATCATTTTGGATAATTGACCCGATACTCTAATTAGGCTAAACTTTGACAAAATAAAAACATCACAGAAAAACATTTTTGCATAACTTATTAAAAACCAATTCTAATCATATTTTTCCCTTAAACACCTTATTTATGTGTTTATACACAAGTATCTGTAGATTTATTATAAACATGAAAAAGATTTTATCACTTATTCTCTTCTCCGATGTAGATCTCAACCAGATTCAAGTCTATATAGGATTTTTTAATTTTTAATTTTTTCCACTCTAGGTACCAAAAAGGTTATTTTCCGGATTCATCGTGAGTTCCACTAGTCTACAATGACTCAACCAGATGATAAGGGAAGAGATCGCAACTCATAGAAAACTCTTGGGGTTTTTCAACTGTCCGGATTCAATCCCGGGCTAAATTTGCCAAAACGTTGATTCCCGAATATTTCATTCCTGGAATAAAAAATTTCGGGAGATTTGACACTTTTTGCTCGTTTTTAATATATACTGTACTTCAAAAGTTGAACGTCTTGTCCAGTTAATATGACTTCAGGAATAGGCCTCAATTCAGGAGTCGAAGAATTTAAAAATGTTTGCTCAATTCTGAGATTCTTCCGACGAATCTGGGAGAGATGGAAATACTATTCCAGGGGCCATATTCTAGTCACCGTCTCTCACAAGCCGATCGCTGATTGGTTAATCATTTGGATTAGCCAATCAGCGACCGCTTGCGAGAGACGAGAGACCAGAGACGGTGACCAGAATATGACCCCAGGTCTCAGAACGACAAGCTGACGCCTTAACCACCTAGTTCAGTCTATGATAGATAAACCTAATAGGATGATCGAGTGGCTACAAAGGTAAAGGCGTCAGCCTATCATTCTGGGACTACCTAGGATCGAATCCGGAAACCTCGTCCCTTCCCTCATCATCTGGCCGCTCCATGGTGGGCCTAGCCGAATTCATAACGGGAATGGAATAAAGGCCCATTCTGTGTCCACAGGATAGAGAAAGTTTTAAAAAAGCAATAAAATATATTTAGGAGTTTGTTAGCAAAAACATAAATTCTAGTAATATCAATGATAAATTTATATTAAATAAGTTTAGATGTGATATTTACTGTAATAAAGACCAGCGTTTCTCAAACTTTTTGCATAAAATACGTACTTACGTCAATACAATTTGATAACATCACACAAAAAACAACGGAAAGACAAACTGTCACACAGTGATAAGTTAATGTCGAGTATGTTCGAAAAGTTCCCCATTGCTCACGATACATGCCATTGTTATCAAACTGTATTGACGTAAGTACGTATTTTATGCAATAAATTATGCGTATTTCTTCATACCTATGGCTACTCCTTTCAAACGTTTACACAAAATGGCGTGCATCGCTTTCGGACATTTTTGGATATAAAGGCGACAATTTATCTTATCCGTGTGAACCACGTGTCTTTTCTGTACTAATTAATTGATGCTTTAAAACTTTCTAATTGGAAAGGGGAAACTTTCCAATTAGAAACTAACTTTACTAACTTTCTAATATGTTTTCGTTTTCGATTTGCACTGCCTATCTTCCAAATTTCGCCACTAGGGGCGCTGCTGTCGTTTGCATTAGGTCGGGCGTAGTCGCTTTACAATACCGTTACCTCACTTGCATAGATGTAGCTCTCTCTGTTTGCAAGAATTTTCTGGTTAAAGGGACTTTCCTATGCACCCTGTATATACATACACAAAAAATAATAAAAATCTATTGATCCACTTTCAACAAAATTCATTCGTTATTTATTTTTTTATAATTTATTGTTATGTTCGACAATAAACCTAAAAGTTTGATTAAACAATGGAAATATTTTCAAAATCACTTCAACTTAAATGAATGACTTTATGACCACGACCTTACATAAAATATCAATTTTGAAGTTATTCAAAATAGAAAAGAGAAATCAATTTCATATAAACACATTCTATAATATAAATGACAATAATAATTATAAGAAAAAGTTGTTAAAAGTTTTCAGTACTTAACAGATGTGTCTATTGTTCTTAGTTCTTAAAGAATATTTCAGTAATACAAGTTTACAAGTATTTTTGTGGAAGGTGGTATCATTTCGCTCATTTTTTATTCATATATCTTATGGCTATAAGTGCCATAAAATATCTGAATAAAAAATGAGGTAATTTATTTCAACAATAATTGTTATATATTATTTTCAAATAAAAGATAATGTTTGATATCTGCAGAAAATAGCTTTTGTTCCAAAATTTAAGAGAAAAATTGTAAAAAATTCAATATGCATTTTTTACAGATGCTGCATATCAATTTTCCATTATATAAGTTAATGGCAAATTGATATGCAGCATCTGCAAAAAATGTATTTTCTAGTTAGAATCTAAATTACAAATCGTGTGCACGAACTGAGTGATTTATTTACTTTTTTCTATTCGATTTTACTCTATTAAAGAACATTCTAATGTTTTGAAGATAAATTTAACAGCGAATAGAAAATAATTTCTAAATAAAAAACGAAATGGAATTAAATTCATAAAATATTAACGTAATTGTATTATGATAAATATACACACTTAATCACACTAGCTGATGAGAATTAATTTTCATTACAAAAAACTTCATTAATTATAGCTATTCAAAATTTAAAAGTTAAGCTTGCTTGGCAAATTTTTATTGACTACATGTTTATGCAGTACGAAGAAAAAATATGATGCATTGTTAGATGCAGTCTGCTGTAATGCATATTGTAAATATTGTATCAGATTATATTAATGAGTTATTTATTTTTATGGATATCAAAGAATATTTGAAATACAGAATAATTTAGGTCTCAAAAAAGATAATCTCTAAAGTATTATTCATTTATAATCATTAGAATAAATCGAAAACGATTCTATATGTATTGAGTTACCAACTGTCCTTCATTGAACTGTTCTCATTTCATCAATAATATCATCCTTTTGAGTACAATTTTAATTCTTTTGTTTACTTTCACTTTATCTCTGAAATATTACAGGCAAACGATGTTCCAATATTTTATGCTATTATTCTATAGTAGTATCATCATTCACTAGAGTAACAGAAAGACACTACTATCAGAGCAGGACAAGCAAATTAAATTTAAATTAATTAAAGACTTAAGAGTGCATTGTGCAACAGTGATAATAATTCTAGCATTGAGCATAAAACTCTATTTATTGTCTACTTAATGTTTTATGATTCACAGTTAATCAATAAATATTTGTAGCAAACTACTTTGTTATAAATGTCCTCCGTTGTACAATGTTCATATGTATACAGTGTATTGTCCTTTTCGTACAAGAAAGTTGGCAACTTTTATATTTATATACAGCTTTAACATATGTTTGCGAAAATCTGCCATTATTTATTCTCAGTATTGCGCTAATTCGAAGTAATACGAATAATTTAATCCAAAAATAATTTTCTTCTAATTTTAATTGAGATAAAAGATATAGTTAGTTATATATATGTACAGTACCTAAAATTGAGAGAAAAAATTTAATAGTACAGTACAATACAAACAACAGTGTGTCTGTTTTAATTTTGCTAAGTTGAAGTAAATTTCTCATTTCAGCGGTTATAAATTAGACTTGACATGAAATAATATATTTTGAGTTATGAAGTGTAACGTTTTGTCTTCTATAATTTAATTTGTTATTTATATATTGTTGAGACAGAATGAATACTAAATTCACAAGTGTTTTCGTTACTAAATAAGACTTCCCCATATGTATTGTTAATAAAACAAGAATTTTTACATCTTTAGATTATTTAAAATGCAATACCCTTAATCATAATTAGAAGTTAAAATATATATATTATCAGTATTTAATCACTAATTATGATTAAGGACATCGCATTTTAAATAATTTAAAAGTGTATAAATTATTATTTTATCACCAATGTTTTCTTTCTGTTTGTGTAGCCAGGAATATATTCTTGAAATAATAAAGTTCCCTTATACGTTGCATTGATATATACAACACGACGATTTCAACTTCAGACTGACTTTTACGTTCTAGTGCAAATGCTGAATTCATATTTAATTAAGATCCATATTTCAAAATACTTTGTAATTAACAGATCCAAGTTATTGACAAAATTGTACCGTATAAATCAGCCTTTAGTCTTTCTATTGAATAATAAGGAAAATTTAGTATAAAAGTAAACAAGTTTAGTGAATAATAAAATTTAAATAATTTTTAATAAATTAAATTGAAAATAATTTTGTAAATATATAAGTATTTATAGTCTAATAAATATTGGCATGTTTTAAATACAGTAAGGAAATCAGAATAAATTATTTCGAATTTTCGACTAAATAAAAATTTATAAATTATCGAAAAAACTTTTTTATCTGTTTAAGTTAAGATTACGAGAAATTTTGATAAATTATTTTGCTTCCTATGTATATTTCTCATAATAATCTATTTAAAGCTCATTTAACTTACATGCATGGATTTTCTGGCGCCAATAGATTAAAAACTATAGCAATACTATTAAAAATTAGAAAATACTGGTGCATCGTTGTAAAAAGTTGGAAACTTCAACGTTTTAGCACTCCAGAAGTGACTCAAACGCTACTGCCAGTAAAAGTTACACATGAGAACATGAACTTTCATGCCAGTCCATTTCGACGTGAAGATTTTGCTGTTGAAAGTTGTGTTTATTATTACCAGGTACAGTACTTATTGTTATTAGCCTACTATATAAGAGAATACAACGTGACTGATAGTTAGACAGATTCTTTTTAAGATAAAATAAAAATACAGAATAAATGGACTTCAGGAGAGGTCATGAAATTGTTAGAAGCACGAAAAACATCTATGTTTATGAATTGTTATGTCTGACGTTTATAAAAGACGAAAAATACGTGAGAACGCATATGTAAATGTAGTAGAAATTCAACGTGTACTACGGCTAAGTTCACGAGACATTTTGTAATTTTAACGACAAAATACGAACGTTCCGATGAACGAGCACTAGATAAATGAAACTGGCAAGGAAAAATGAAACTGTTACAGTTGTTGTAAATAGTAACTACTGGCTAGAGAAATGGTGTTAACAAATCCATATACTGTACATTAAACCGGCTTACGAACAGAATTCAACTGCTATTTGATTTGAATAAAAGTTCATAAGTTTAAATTTCGTAATTCAGATTTAATGAAAATTAAAGGTTTTAAAACTATTAAGGTTAACCTATTTCAAATTAATGAGGATTAATTTATCACTGCAATAAATTACAAAATATCAGTTTAATGTGTAGTCAATATTTATTTGTGTTGCTTACGAAATTATTTTCTTAATAGATTTTAATACTGTATAATCAAACGGAGTTAATACTATTCTAAATTCACTACATTAGCAGTTATAACTTGTGATTAAGAATCGTCTCTGGGCAAATTATCTATCGCGCAATTATTCAAATCTGGTTTGTTTCAGCAATTTATCCTATTTAATTCGAAACCGATTCAATTTAAAATGTCTAACTTAAATCAGCAACAGACTTTTCTCAATCTACAAACGAAAAATCTCATTAAAGTGAGATTAGTAATCTGTAAAATGGGTCTATTTCGTGCAACGTTCTTCTAAAGATTTTTATTCTTTGCATTTGCATATAAATTAGAAAATAAATGAACTTTAGCAAATCAGTAAAAAAAGGAAGGAGAAAAACATTCGCTAAGACAGCACTAAACTCTGTAATAGCATCCTTTATCGGGAAGAAATCATAATTATTTTTCAATTAATTTCTTTTAATTTATTGGTACGAACAACACTGTACATATTTCTGGCTACTTGGCCTGACACTGTTCATTTTCTTCGTCGAAAAAAACAACAAATGAAAATAATAGGATGGAGTGTTAAAACAATTTTTGGAACATTGCAATATGTCCAAATATTTTGGCATTTAACGATATTCGTTAATAGATTTAAATAAAATCGTCAGCGACTTCCGAACTTAGTGCTGTGACCTGCAGCTTTCCTCTTTTTTTATAATGTAGTTGTCCCCGGCATGATAAAACTCAACCATCGTAAGTACATCTTTTCTCGATTTCGGGTGGGTTATGTACGCGCCTTCTTACACCAGCCTGTCTTCTGATGTCCATAAGGCGTTGACGCAACGAAGAATGACTGGAATAAATCCATATTTTAATATTTAATTGATATGAACATTTAAAAAATCAAATTACTAAATTTACTTACCACATCAGGTACATAGTGATAAAAACAAATATGACGAAGGCGATCCCAACAGTAATCATTGCGTACATCCAGATACTCTTTTGGCTATCGTCTGAATCAAAACGTTTATAAATAATCAATATATATAAATATTTCAACATTTTAAAACATATTTTATATATTATTTTAAATAAAATATCATAACAGGTGGCACAGCATGCAGTTTTAAAATGTTGTTGCCAGGGAAGTTATGCAACTCTTAGCTGAAATTTTTAAAATTTTATTTATCTTCTATGTTTCTACTACTGGTGAACTAAAAGGAGATGGAGGTATTCACTAAAATGCTGACTGTTGCAAAATTTATAGCATCAGCATACTCTCTCTCAAAAGTTGTTTGCATCTATGCATATGCTGGCATACCAACTTTTTGGAGCTTCTCTAAACATCACAGCTTACTGGCTCTTTATGCATATATGATGTAGCTAGAAAATAATGAGACTGTGCTTGCCTGCATGGAATGGTCACATATGGGCCAAAGTGAGTGGGTGGGTAAACAACCTTAAACAAGTTAGAACAAGCACAACAAGTCTCAACTTGCTACTGCTATTAGATTTGTTGTGAGTGCCTGCTGCAAATGGACATGTTGTTAACATGTGTCAGGAANCAATATTCTAAAATCAGAACTAAAATATAGCTGAATATCCTCTGAAATTTAAAGTTTGTTGCATTATAGATATCAAATTAATGAAGAGAAATATTATACAGTATTTATTAAAGTAATTTCGAAAGGTATGACATAATATTTGGTTACTAATATTACCCAATTTGCATTTTAAATGTAAATAAGATGAATAGCCTCAGGTCTTTAGCAACGAAAACAATACTAATTCATTATCTATCGTTTTCGAGACAGGAACAACCTGTCGTATTACGAATGTTTATAAAATATACTGAACACTTTTCCATCGATTATTAGGAAGTTGAATCAAATATAATTTCCAGACGAAATGTTAGGAGAAATATTCCGGTTTCTACTCTGAAATGATGTCAATATTCGATATTTTTAATTTCAATTAAATTCTTCACGAATTTAGAAGAGTTAAATTTATTTCATTTGAATAGTTTATAAAGTAGATAAAGTGAATATTAATTAGTTTACCATTTACATCATTAATTTGTTAATATAAAGCCAAATTTAGCGGTAAAGTATACCTACCTGAATATAATTATTAATATTTATTTAAGTAAAAAAGAAAAACTTTAAATTATGTAATTATACGATTAAAAACTACACAGAAAAGTACCGAAGATTTATAAAATTGATAGCAATTTTGAAATAGAACGTTTATCAACTGAAACATTATTATATTCTTTATCGGTGAACTACATCAATTTCAGAATTCGTTATTGACACGGAGTAGTGCGAAACTGTCAACCGAGAATTGATAAATTGAAACACCATCAACCCAGAAATAAATGTTTCCTATCAAGAGCCACTTGGTAGATTGTAATATACAAAAGAATAGTATCGCTGCAGGGATAGTCTAGGAAATGACAAATTAATCAGAAAAAATATTATACACCTACCAAAGATTAGGAGTGAAATATTATAGCCATTGAAAAATAGATGACCATAAAATGTCGAATTACGGAAACCATGTCGTATGTCAATCTGATAACCACGAATGCTCGAAACACGCAACTATAAATACGCTCCATACATTTATTGGCAAAATGTATAATTACGGATTAGAACATAACTCACCTGGAAAATATTTGAGCAAAATTTCTTCCGAATTAGTTTCGTTAGGATTCATAATTACACATTTGGTTTTCTTATTGTTATTAATATTGTTTCCACATTGGCAGACACCCAAAGTAGTGTTGCAAATCGTGCCCGGTTCTTTGCAAGGAGGATGACAAGGTTTGGCCACGTGACGACAACCTCCTGAAAAGAACGAAAATGACTGGCTATTTAGATGATACGCTTGCGTATTATCACTCTAAGATTCTAGCAGACGACAACTGTTCTACCGTCACAATCCGAATTAAAGATCGTTATTAGCAAACTTTGCTGTAATGGAAGTGATTTCCGGCTCGATATTTACTCTGAATGTAAATTAAGCGGAAACGACGATATTGACAGGTAAGAGATCGATGCGGATATTAAATTAACAATTTTTAACACAGTTTAAAATAACAATAATAACAATGAGAAATTAATCCAATTGAAATAATAATAAGAATTTGTTCGTTTTTTATTACAAAAATCGGATTATTCGATATTTTAAAAAATTTTTTCTCGCGTTTTTAATTATATAATATTAATATTTAACGATTTTAAAGAGTAAACGAAAACAAAATAGCGCATTGTTTAATCATTTGACTAAGTAATTGTCTTTGAAATAATATACAGAGTCCTTTCAAACTGATCAACTATCTAAAATTACTTTAACGATTTAACAGAAAAATACAATAAGGATGAGATAACTCATACTCTAATAAATATCCAAATATATAATTTAAAATAAATTACAGACTTAAATTTTAAAGTTACTTGTGATCTAATTAGTTAATATCACTAATAACACTGAAATTAAGCCATTAATACACAAACATTTACAAAGAAACAAAAAGAACATAATATTAATTGACTTAAAAAAGGCATTAAATTAGCTATTTTGTGAAAATACTGTTTTATTTTTCACAAAATGGCTATCAGTATTTTCACTAAATCTGATTTATACTATATAATTTAAGAACAAAATGATATTATGTAACTGGAAAAATGCAAATACTTTCAGTAACAATAAAATTTATATTTATTTAAATATTTTTATCAATAATAAATATATATATAAAAATAGTTAAAACTTTTAAAAAAATGTATTAACTTACCAAAATTACATTAATTACATGTGTATTAATTTATTGCATTAATGATTATTAAATCATTAATGTAATAAATAATGTATTTTATGAATAATAATAATTCAAAATAATTTTATACAACATTTTATTAATTTTTTNATTCTTAATCCCAAATTTTCTCTGATAAAATTCTTTCTTTAACATTTGATTATAAAAACATTAAAAATAAGTCAATTACATCTATAGAAATATAAACAATAGAGAAATATTGGTAAAAAAACCAAAAATATTGACTAAACAAAATAAAACATTTCAAATTTTTTTGGGGAAAAAATAGTTTAAAATTAACCTTATAATTTTTCTCTATTCACCATTATTTTTTTTAAGAACATCAGAAAAACACAAAATCTAAGACAGAATAATACTAATACAAATATATGAGTTTAAAAAAATTGATAATTTCTACATAAAATTTTTATTCTGCAACATTAGGCCATTTGTATAAATGTTAATAGTACAGTATCTGATTTCAATTTTATTAATTTTTTACGATAATTTTTACTGATGATGGATGTGAACAATTATGTAAGATTAAAAAAGGGTTTTATTATTTTTTTACAATAATGAAATGCTATTTTAAGTAATTTTTTATGTTCCTGATTTTTTTCCATATTTTACATTTAGCAGAACTCCTGTTAACTGAGTATCAGTCTGCATAAGAAAGCACTATTGTAAGAAAGGTTTATAAAGGCCTATTTTTAATCTTATGGTACATCACCACCAGGGTACATGGTGACAGGGCTATCTACATTACAGAATTTGTTGAGATTTGTTAAAATATATTTTTGTTGTCAGAAGAAAAGGAGTAAATGAAGATGAAGGAGTTGAACACAACAAAACAAAAAAATTGAAATTATTCATGAATCAACAAAATCTGTTTCATTTAAGTATAGTGAGAAATATTTAGAAGAAAATTTTACTGATTATAACACATTTTACAAGATTGAGATGACTGAAAAGAAAGCTGCAGATGTTTCAATGTCCAAGCAGTTAAGATAGCCTATTGCTCTCAGAACCAAGAACAAATCTAAATGGGTTGAAAACCCCAGAGAAATTTTTTCGGGTGGACCATCCCAAATATGTCAGGCTCCATCCCTCATCATCCAGCTACTTCATTGTGGGCCTGTGTGAACTCATGATTATTTGAGCTATTAACTGTTATTTGAGATCTTGTATTTCACTCTTGTCACGTGATCTTCATTTCTCTGACAAGGTTCAAAATCATTCTTAAAATACAGTTTATGTTCCACAATGACTTAAACTTGAAGGCAATTTTACCCTGATTTGTGAGTCTACTAGTGAAAACTTAATTTTATGTTTTATCTAGGTTTTGTTCTTTATATCCAAAAACTTTTTCTGCTTCCTTGTTCAAAAGGTTTCCAGCTTATAGTAAGATTTAGCATAGAAAATTACTCCATTCCAAAGAATTTTTTCCATTTAGGCAGGTTTCTACTTTAGACAGATTTTACTGTATAACCTTACATCATCTCCATACAGCACTCCATTATACTGTAATTTAGTTCAGGCTGTGGAGTTGGAACCAGGAAAAATGTGTCAACTCTGACTCTGGCATTTTTAAATTAAATTTAGTGTTTTTTTTTATTTAAAATAATTAATTATATAAAAAGTTTTTTAAATAAAATATCATAACAGGTGGCACAGCATGCAGTTTTAAAATGTTGTTGCCAGGGAAGTTATGCAACTCTTAGCTGAAATTTTTAAAATTTCAGCTATCTTCTATGTTTCTACTACTGGTGAACTAAAAGGAGATGGAGGTATTCACTAAAATGCTGACTGTTGCAAAATTTATAGCATCAGCATACTCTCTCTCAAAAGTTGTTTGCATCTATGCATATGCTGGCATACCAACTTTTTGGAGCTTCTCTAAACATCACAGCTTACTGGCTCTTTATGCATATATGATGTAGCTAGAAAATAATGAGACTGTGCTTGCCTGCATGGAATGGTCACATATGGGCCAAAGTGAGTGGGTGGGTAAACAACCTTAAACAAGTTAGAACAAGCACAGCAAGTCTCAACTTGCTACTGCTATTAGATTTGTTGTGAGTGCCTGCTGCAAATGGACATGTTGTTAACATGTGTCAGGAAAATGGCCAGCTTGAAAGAAGAGCAGTATATCAACCATGAAATTTTTAATGAAATTGAAAAAATCTACCACTGAATCTTTGCACCTGTTACATAAGCATATGTAAACATGTTTTTTCCATGCACATGAGTTTGAATGGCACAGAAAATTTCTGAGGGCCGAGAAAATGAGAAAAACGATAAACATTCTGGATGGCCCAGCAAGTCAAAAACCAAGGAAAACGTATGAGAAGTGGAACAAATTGTGAACCAATATTACTACAAAGAAGTTCTGGAATCTTTGCAAGAAAAGGTCAGAAGAAAGCGACAACACTTGTGGCAAAATGGTTTCATCCTCCATTAGGACAATACACCAGCCCATTTTGTTCTGTCAGTGAAGCACTTTTTGGCCAAGAAAGCAGTCACAATACTTGAACACTCATTGTACTTACCTGATCTAGCTCCATGTGACTTTTACCTTTTCCCTAAAGTCAAGTCTGCTCTGAAAGAACATCATTCTGATTCAGTTTCTGCTGTCAAGGAAAAAACGACAGAGCTTCTCCATAGCCTTACAGATCCTGCAGCACTGTTATGATCAGTGGAAGTTGTGAATGCAGCATCATGTGGAAGCAGAAGGATCATACATTGAAGGAAAACACAACTAAAGTGAGTATACTACTGAAGATTTAAAGTTCCAGCTTCAGTCTCGTTATTTTCTAGCCACTCCTTGTAGATTCAAATAGTCATATTTTTTTTATTAGTATATTTGTAAAATTGTGAGTTTTGTCTTGGTAAATTTAACTTCTTTATTATAAAAATTTTTTTTATATCAACAGTAATTTATTTTAAATTTTAAACATTTTTATTAAAAATTATGATGTGTTGTAGTAATCTTATTAAATTCAAAGAGTGTCACCAATCCAAAAAGGTTGGGAAACACTGTTCTTAATAGTAACATTTAGGATTATAATTATTATTTACTTTTTTAGTTTGTTTTTTCACTAAAGAAATAATATTCTATTGAAAAGAAGCACTAATAAAAATTAAAAAATTATAAATTATAAATGTTATAGCAACAAGACTAAACTTAGTTATAACATCACATATTTAATTAGGGTATTTTAAAATCAAAATAATATAAGAAAGTACTTGGCTATACAATGTTAATCAAATTAAAAATCATAAATATATAAATTTCATTTTCATACATTAAATTATATAATATTTATCTTATCACAGTGATTTGTAAAATTTCTTACATTTATTGAGTTTAATTTTATTATATCTTTTGACTTTTTAATAAAATAATGTTACCTTTAAAAATACCTTTTAACAATTAAGTATTGAACATAAAATATGAATACTAATCTCTTAATTAACTTTATATATATAATCATAAATTCAAATAATATTAAAAAATTTGATTACCTATTTCAGCCAATGAACAATCTCTGTGACAATGACTCCAAAGACTCCAATCTGACATCTGACAATCTCCAGGACATGGAATATAACATTCTTCTGTCTCCTTAAATAATTTTCATTTTTGAATATTTTTTATTATTAAACAATAAATCTTATTTTTTCACATGTACAGTACCTTATGATCAAAACTTAAAGCCAACCAATTTAAGTCCACTTTTTTTGTTAATGGACTTGTCCAATTCACTAGAAAACAATATCTGTTTGAAACAGTCACATCATCTTGTCTTTTACATTGTACAGTTCGTGTCCTGATGCCATATCCACAGTCTGCATCCTATTAATATATTTTTATTTTAAAAATTTACTAAAGTTCTAATTATTCATAAAACAATTCATAAAAATAATAGATAAAATACCTTTAATATACAGTCTGACCAGTTACTACTACTCCAATAATAACATGGATTAAATGGACATGGCTTATGTTGGATTAAAGGCTGCAAGCATGGTTGTCCTCTCTCACTTGGAGGTTGGATTACATGACGTGATCTTATCATTTGCTCTAATAAAAAAATAACATTATGTTATTTTTTAAATTCTAATATAATGAATAAATTAGTTTTTTTTAAATAAATATTTTTGCAATTAGTGTATTAAATTATTACTTAATTCTTTAATAAAAATTCAAATCAATTGCAAACTTTAATTAACATTTCATTAATGAAATAAGAAGCACACTTTATTTTCAGGGCATTCTTATTTCATTTACAATCTCCAGTTTCTGTGATTCTTACATTGTACAATTTCATTTAAATATTAACTAGCTGTGTGTATCCAGCAATGCTCAAGCTTTTAAGAGGATGGAAGATTGGTGAGGTTGAGTTTAGGAGACGGTGATAACAACAATGGTCTTAGTAACTGAAATGTGCATTTATTGACCTCAGTATTTATAATAATGAAAGTGCAAAACACAAAAAAATTATTATAAAAAGAAAATATACACCACTGTCTGTCAGCGTTACATAAAATTATTTATTTTGCGAGTACTTTCAACAGTATATAACTGTCCTCTTCAGACAGAATCGTTCATAGAGAACAAAACATTTGGATTCAAAAACAGGAAGTACCTATGGATTTGCCTCTATCAGCCATTTTGGCAGAGCTGGTCATGAGAACCATAGAGTTCAAAATTTTTAGATCCCCTCTTACCATACATTATCCTCTTCTATATTTGAGGCATGTTGATGATATTCTACTAGCTAGAGAAGGCTCCGATAAAGAGTTAATGGATTTTATACAATTACTGTTAGCTATTTTTCTGACTACTTCATTTACTAAAGAAGAGGAAAAAGATGCAGAGATCTCTTTTTTAAATCTGCTCATATATAGATTGCCAATGGCATCTTATTTTCTGTATCATAAATTTGATGAACTTCCTTACGTCATTCCTTCTACTTCCAGCTTTTCAACCCTCCAGGTACAAAAATTCAGCTATTATAGCACTGATACATGGGGCATTCTTATATTCTTCCACTCAATCACTTGTAGATGATGAGCTTTCCCTTCTTAAATCAGCAGTTTGCAGTGCTGGATATTCTTTGGCCAAGTTCAAATACCTAGTCAATCAGGTCAAAGACATGTTATTTTCACCATCCATTTTGTAACTTAAAGAGTTGGTTTTTGTAACACTGGCCATTCTGTACCTGGGTCTCCTTTTGTTACATATTTGTCGAGTTTTCAAGAAATTTGGCTATATTTTGCCACTAGCACCGCAGCCCACATTGCATAGGATACTTTGTAATAATAGAGATGAAGCTACCCTCTAGGGAAAATCAAAATCCTCTAACTGGATCAAAACCAGGGCTGGATCTACATAGGGAGTAATAGGGCTTAAGGCCTGGGCCCCAAGTGTCGACAGCCCACAAAAATTGAATTATTATCACAAATTTTTAATACTTGTTCATTAACAATGAGCACTTATCATATAGTAAAAAATATCATTATGAATATTAACTTATTTATAGTATTATTTGTTTTATTGTAATCAATGTAACGTAATTGCTCAGTAATTAATCAATGTAAATATTTTTTTATTTCTTATGTTTTTTTATATAAGATATAAAGTTTGTCATTCAACAACATTTCATAAATAAATATATTTCAACTCTGATTTTGATGTTATTAAAAAATGAATTTTAAACCCCAATTTAAAGATTCTTAATCTAATAAAAAATGGGGCACCATTGGACTTCAATAACACCTAGGCCCCAAAAAATGTAGATCATCCCTTGGTCAAAACTATTATATATTGGAGCCACTTCTAGAATACTCTGCCTCTATCTTGCAGAACACCATGATGATGATGTATGTAACATATATACAACAAAATTAGCTAAAAAAAAAAGTGATAAAGAGTAACTTCAAGCCGCTTTGGTCGCAAACTTCTCTTCTAAAATGCTGTGATGATCAAAAAACATTATTCACATGGGAATCTCTTTACATTTCAATAATCTCACTGTATAACTTTCCTGTGCTAGATATACCAGAACTGTGGACAGCACTATTTAACTTCATAAAGTTGTAAATCACATGGTTCATGATAAAACAAACACCTCACTGTGTCACTGGTGCTGCTATAAATTTATTTTTAATTTTCTATTGGCTATTAATATGTGTCAAAACCAAATTTATCATAATGACCACAAATGACTAAGATGACTTTTTAGCATTCACCTTAAAGTTATTTGTAGTTGTTATGATAAGTTTGGTTTTGAGGCATATTAATGGCCAATAGAAAATTAACATAGTCATCCAAACAAGAAGCAATTTATACTTTTAACAAGAAGAAGAATTTATACTTTTAACAACTTTATACTTTTTACAAGAAGCAATTTAACATTTATTTTTGTTTATTTACTGTTTATTTTATTACTAATTACTTTAAATGGTTTTATTTTTTAATATCCTTTACATATAATTGTAGTTTCATAATATTGTATAATTTTGTAAACTGTATATAGGTATTAAATGCCATGCATACAGACAAATGATTTGTAAAAATATTAGTTCTTATTCAAGTTCTATTTTTGAATGCAAGTGTTTTGTTCTCTATGAATGATTCTGTCTGAAGAAGACAGTTATATACTGTCAAAAGTATAGTAAAGAGTCAATTATCCGAATCAATTGGAGACTGGGGTTGTTCGGAAAATCAATATTTCGGATAACCGATTATGTAGAAAAAAATATATTAATTTATCCCATGCTGAAATTTTTCTCTGCTGCATGTCACTTCGCGTTGAATTTTCGTCGATGTTAAGCCTAACAAAGACTATTGTATTGTTAAAAATTTTTTTTATATTTTGTACAAAGAAAATAAATATATTGAAAAATATAAAAACAATAAAAAATTATACTTCAGAAGTTAATTTAGTATCAAAAACGTAAAATATTTGAGTAGCCCAAGACATAGCCAAAGATTGCAGTGCCACAGCACTGGCGAAAATTTAAATTTGCCGACTGGAATTCTTTCGGATAATTGACGCTCTACTGTACTTGCAAAATAAATAATTTTATGTAAAACTGACAGACATTGGTGACATTTCTCTAACAGTATAAACTGGCATGTACAGCTATTTAAGTTTTATTACAAAAAAATTGCTTGGGCTAAAGTTAACAGGGAATGGAAACCTGACATGTTTGTCCTATAGATATAACATTGAAAAACACAGATGTAGATGATGCCACTGAAGAGCTATTTGAATAAAGTATAATCACTGGTCTTTGGACCAGTGCCGATCTGCGAAAAAATTACACCAGTCCACAGAAAAATGTTTGATTGTACTGACACTGGAACAGTTAATTTCAGGTGACATTTAAATGGTAATCTAGAGTTATTGCATATACCGTATATCTCAACAGATAAGACAATAGTTAAATCATAAAAAGTGGCCCCCAAAATCCGGGGTTGTCTTATAGGACAGATACAAAAAAAATTAGATTGAAATTTATATAAATTAAAACCATTATAAAAAGACAGACAAACCGTAATTATTTACTAGAAGAGAGTAGAGTATGTGCACAAAATAAAATAGCCCAAACAACATTTTTGTGAACAGTCAAGGTCATTACCCGAATGCCAAATCAGTGCCAATGTTTGCAACAATCACAAGGCAGTGCTGCCAGATGCAAGAAAGTAAAATTTGTTCATTCGAAAAATCACAAATAGGACATAATTCCGTATACGTTATACAGTATTATTATTCAGATGATGATCGCTGATCTAAACTAAATTCATAGGCCATTGATAGTTTGGGTTGTCTTATAGACAGATATATGTTAAAACTATAAAACTTTGACGAAAATTTATACCTCATCTTATCTGAAGGTTGTCTTATCTGCTGAGATATACAGTACTTTGTTACATACAATAACTCTACATAAGCATAATTTACAGTCGCATACAGTTATCAGTCCGTGATTATAAAAAAATTAAAAAATACTGATTTACAGGATAAGAGCATTAGTTTAATACCTGAACTGTATTTTTAGTCCTAGCCATTTACTTGAACTAAGTTGGACGAACTGAAACCTTCTTTCAATTAATATATAATATAAAATAATTTTTATATATGTTTTTATTCTACATAAAACAAACAAATATATAGTATATTTTAATGAAATTTACTTTCTATAATTGAAAATAATGCAGCATTACAAAATATAAAAAAATTATTCATAATTATTTTCAATATTTTATAAAATGCTCTATAATATCTGTAAAGTATATTAATTTTAAATAATATCATATTTTTAAGTTTCAGGACAAATTTACATTCAAATTTCAAGCTTTCTAACAAGAGGTCTATTACTATAAAGCTTTATTATGATTTTAAGAATTTTCTGCATTTTAAAAGTTTTGACATCTTACTTTTTAAACCACATTGTTGACAGTCACGTTTATCCCATTCAGACCACTCTGATACTTCACAATCAATAGGACAATCTATATAACATGATTTTTCTATATTATCTGGTAGTTGAGCATTCTACAAGTATAAAGTACAAAATTGATAATTAATTTTTAAAACAATTTCTTATATATTTATATTTCAAAACATTTTATTCAAGTTTATCTTACCTTAAAGCATTTTGAAATACTGGTAAAATGTCCATCATTCCGAACACATTGTATTGCTCTTCTTTGTTTTCCTTCACCACAGAATGCTCCTTCTGGTAAAACACATGAACTCCAATTCCCAACCTTCCATATATAATAAAAACAGTTTGTACCTAATAAACAATTTTCAGAATCTACTAAAGATGGACATGGTTTACCACTTTCAGAATTGTATCTTAATATTATTCTTTTCCTTGTGCGATTATATAAATTATTACATGTCTAAAACATTAAAAAAATATATATCTATATAAATATAAAAATTTTCATAAAATAAAAAAGTTCATTAATTTTTAAAATTAAATTTGTCACCTTATCACATTCAGACCATTCTGACCATTCAGATACAACACAATCTTTTGGACATGGTAAATAACACTCTCTTGAAACAGATGGTTTAGACATAGAATTACAATTATTGATATCTACTTTTATGGGATTTGTTTCATCAATTGTTCTAACACAGCTAAAAAAAAATTTTACATAAATTTATTCGATGATATTAACTTTTTTATATTTGTTTTAATTAATATTCTCACTTAATTTCTCTCTTCTGTGTACCATTGCCACAAATTCCTGAAGTTGTACATTGCATCCAATTTCCAGCCAACCACGAATATGCAACACAAGAAACATTTTCTACTTTGGTTTCATTTTCCTAAAATTTTAAAACAAGTTGATAAATTTAATTGAGAAAGATTTAATACATAATGAATGAGTTTTAAAATAATTTAAAAAGATCAAACACTTTTCAGAACATATTTAATTTGGAAGATTGATATTAATATATTACACAGCTTTTTAACTCTTTAAGCTTTGAAAACTCACCCCATCTCTATTGCTAATGACCAAATTGTTTTTATCCCTCAGGATACAAGGAGAACTTGTTTGGCAAAAATAGTCTAACAACTTTTCAATTGGCCAACTCATTTTTAAAGACAAAGCCGATTTTATGTATAAAGAGTTAAACATGAATGTGAATGAATATTCTATTTTATTTAGTCATTGAAAATGATTATTGACTTAAAATTAATATATTTTCATGTACTATATATAATCCATGGGTAATCTGTGTTAAAAAAAAAAAAAATTGAAAGTGATACAGATTATGCAATCGATGGGTTTTATGCCAATTTTGAAGTACAATTACAAATTAACATTTATGGAGGAATGACTGCTTCATAGGCAGAGGTTGTATGGTGAAGTGAAGTATATGATTTAATTTTTGTTCCAACAATTTTCTGCAGATTATATGCATGAAAATATGGTATACAGTTTTATTAAAATTAATTTTTAAAAATATTAAATACTCAAATACTTACAATACCATTTTGTATGTTAATACAAGGTCGACCAAATTTATTGGCAGTATGAATAACTTTACGATGCCTATGCCTATATACACTTCCACAACTGGCATTGTTAACTGACCATGAAGACCAAGCTGTAACTTTGCAATCTCTAGGACATTCAACAACACACATATCTACTTCATATCCTAAATATAATTTAAAGCATTTGTGAATTTTCTCAAAATAAATAATCAAATATATTCTAAATTATAATATCATACCCATTTGATGACAGTTTTTCATGTCAAATCCATCTGTTTGTCTGAACTTCTGTCCTGTACCACATTTACCAATAATTGATCTTCCATTTACTGTGATATTAGAATCATTTTCATCCACAATACATTCTTGCCAATGACTACTTACAGATGATAAATCCATTGGATATGGACAAGATTTTTCCTCTATGGTCAGAAACTGATTTTTACAATTTTCTATTATATCATAGTCATCTATATATATTTATTTCAAAATGACATTTTTAGTATATAAATATATTATAATAAAAAATAATAATTAAAAAATGCACTATGAAATTTGTCATTTACCAGTTAAAAGTTGTCTAGTCCTATTTGTTTTAGATATACAAGCATTTTCACAAAGTGACCATTCTGACCATTCAGATACAGCACAATTTTTATCACATGATACAAAACATCTTCGTGATCTTGAAGGTATTTGATCATCAAGAAAAAAATTAGAACTTATGCACATATCGGGTTCAACTCCTCTATCATCTTCATGAATACATGTAACATCTGTTATTAGAAATAACTTTAATTAAAAACTGATTTTTTCATATACAGTAATATTTATAAAATACACTTTTCATAGTAAAATAGAAAATATTACAATGTTTATATATGCTAAAGTATTTCACTTGAAGCATTATTTCAATTTTATTGAAATTATTGGTTTAACATTAAAATCTATCAAAAAGTCAAATTTTTAAATCTTAAAATTATTATTATAATGACATCTACTAGCAAACAAGCTTCACTAAATACTTTCTGTAAGCTTGTTTGTTTTTGACAATGTTAATAAATATTCTTACTAGATAATTTTTCATTTTGACAGAACTATTTAATAGACTACATCAAATGTTTTATTTTATTAGAAAGATAATATTTTTATTATCTTTTTTAATATTTGTTTCAATCCTTAATTTGCATTAAAGTTTAAATAAAGTACAATAGACCCGCGGTACTCCAACAAACATTTTGCAAGATGGTGTCGGATGATCGAATTTGTCGGACTATAGAGTACTGCCACTGACCTCTTGTAGTCCGGAACTTTTTTGAAAAGGAGTACCTTGTAATCTGACAAATTACATACTTATAAAAATGGTAAGATCAAATCTATATGTACTACATAATATACGATATGGGACTTAATAGAATTAAACAACACAATAGATAGATAATTCATAGGGTTTATTATAAAATTAATGTCATTAATGCTATAGCACTTGCAAAAAAATAATAACTAAACATATTGGTGTCAATCAATTACATACAACATATGTAAGTATTTCCAAGGTACAGTACATACTATGTATGATCTTAATTTGAAAATGGATAAACAAATAAATTTATGGTGCATGCAAATATTCATCAATTTTCTTTTGTTTTACATTGACTAAATGCGAGAGTACAGCCTTGTCTCTCAGTCTCCTCAAAAGTAAAAGTTCGTTGTACATTGCACCATTCTCTTCAGCCCATTGCATACCGAACTACATATAGGCATGTCAGATTATAGGGGGTGCTGGATTACTGCGGGTCTACTGTATGTTCTTCAGTAAAATTAACTACTGTATATTCTAACTAGCAGACCCCGCCACGCGTTGTTGTGGCTCAAAATGTATCTATTATAAATGTATAACACTTCCCCCGTGGGGGGAAATTTTTCAAAAAATTTCTTCTTAGTATACATTCTGTTGACGTACTCTATTAAAACGCAATCAAAACTGCATCTGAAATAGTATAAATAAAAGCAGAGTTCTTTATGGTAAGCCTTAATCCTAACCATCTCCCTTCAGTGGGGGGAATTACGACATGTATATTATATAAAAACACGTGCGCATTCAAATGCAGCGTTGTGTCAAAATTTCAAAGGAATCGGTAGGAACAAAACAAACATTACATTTTTATTTATATAGATAAATAGAAGGTGATCTTCTTTAGTTTATTTTCACAGAAAAGTGTAATGCCTGACAGAAAAGCAAACTTAGGGCGTCGTAGCAGCATCTGTTAAAAATAAAAGCCTTAACCTAAATTATATATTTTAATTTATATGAATGTTAATCAGAATAATATACAGCCTATGTCCACCCTGAGGTTCCATTCTAAATATTGGTGAAAGAATTTTTTAAATTGGATGAGTAGTTTCGGAGATTACCTGCTGCAAACCAACTTACATACATACATACAAACATTACCTCTTTATAATATTAGTATAGATTAGATAGTCTACATAAAGATAGTATGTATAATTATATCAATAATTTAATTGTGAGTTATTATAGAGTTATTTTAATATAAGTAAATGAAAAATATTCTTTAATACACAGTTCTTTATTTTTAAAAATTTGTTATTTATAAATTAACATCATTCATAATATTTACAAAATCTAGAATCATGACAGTTTTTATTCATGGAGTCAATTTAACTATGGATTTTAGTTAAATGGAATCAGAGGTTGTCTAATGCAGTTTATTTTTAAAATATTTTTATAGAATTTATTTGTAAAAGAATATAAAATACTTAATTTTTTCATTTTCTTTGTGAGTAAAATACATTAAAATTAAACATGTATTATATGAAAGTGAAATTGTAAGAGAGATTGAAGATAAAAAAACAGAACAGCATAAATAGCATAATTAAAAATAATTGAAAAAATATCCTATTAAAAAATAACAATAGGAACCAGTAAAATTCAAGATGAAATGCAAATGATGTGCTTTTTAATTATAAGGCTTTTTGTATAAAAAGTTTTAAAATCAAATATAAGAATAGTTTTAGCAAAAGCATTCAATTACAGAAAAATCAACTTATTGTAATCACAGATATTGTTATCAATTTTTTAATGTTATTAGAATTAACATGTACTAAAATGTATAATTATTAATGTTTTTAATGATATTTAATTTAAATCTTCAAAATATACATTTAAAAAAAAATGTTCTAACGTGTTCTTTTAATATCAGAATAATAAAACAAGAACTTTCACTAATTATAACCATATTATTCTGTTTAATATTATCATTTGATTTGATCATCATCATCAACATAAATGAGTCCCAAAGTGATTAAAATAATGGATTTTCGAAAAATGGTAGAATATCTACACTAGTACTGTAAAAAATGCACGTATCTATAAGCCTTTTACCTTTGTGATAAAATGCGCACCGGTAAAAGTCTTATAGATAGAATCCATTATAAAAAATGCATGTATTTCTTTATTTTTTTGGAAACAATTATTTTAATTTTTTATTGAAGTAAAAGCAATAAAATAAAAAAATTAAAAGATTAATTTGTTGAGCAAAATTTTTGCTTCAGAAACTGTAAATGAAATGAGAATTCTACCAGTAATAAACTTAAATTATACTAAATTCTTCATAATATCACTTCTTTGACTCATATCAGTATATAAAATCAATACAGTGGGTGATTGGTTAACAAACATAATCCATTCCAAGACTTTGTTCGCTATCCGATTGATTTACCATAGGTTTCTATGGGAATTTGATTAATTCATTCTGGAGATCCCCAAAAAATAAAAAATATACACATGGTCTTGCATTTTTATTAGTCATGTTTTTTCCGTTTGTAAGGGTTAAAGAATCTGTCTAATGTCGATTGCTTTTCTCTCTTCTTCATGATTTTTCAGAAGTAATTAATAGCATTGTAATTGTAGAGATCCCTGGGCCTATTAACCTCAACCTGGTTTGGATGACATTTGAAGACTGTTGTTCTGACATCACTTTTTCAAAAGATCTTTAATAGCAGATATCGGCATAAATCTGCATTTTCAGAAGAAAACGTAAAAAAATTGTTTCTGTCAGAAATATAAAAGGCTGGAATTACAAGGAAGAGTTTCAAAGTTCAGGGGAATACTATCCTATCAGTATATACTGGGTAGAACGTCGATGTCAACATCTCCCGCGCTCCGAAAAGTTTCGAATTGTTGCCTGAAGACAAAGGAAGACAATCGGTATTCATTATTTTACGTCGCTTCTTCTTGTTTGTTCGGTGAAGTGTTTGTTATCCGAACATGTGTTCATTGTCTGATCATAAAAATCTTTCGCGAAAGTGTTCATTATCCGATTTGTTCGTTAACTGATCTGTTCGTTAACCAATCACCCACTGTATTTCTGTCGAATACTATTGAATATTTTTATAAAAAAAGTATGAAAATAATTACTTCTAATCTGGAAGCCTTTTCCACAATTTTTAACTTGAGGTAGTATGCATGAACTCCACTGTCCTATATCCCATTTATATGTTTTGGAAGAAAGTGACTTTTTACGGCATTGTATGCCATTCTTCTTCAAACAAGATCTTTCCTCTTTCAGTATTGTTGAACAAGGTTTTCCACCAAATTTTGGTAATTCTAAAATATACCTTTGCCGATACTGAAATGAATCTGAAAAAAAAAAAAAAAAATGCTTTTAATAAAATTCACATTTAAATTTATATGTAAAAATGACAAAAAAAATCTAGAAAGCTTAAACAAAGTTTAATGTTTCGAAATTAATTTTCTATTTCATACATAAATGACATCTGTAAAAAATTTTCTACACAAAATTACCACCATGATAATCACAAACTGAAATTCTATAAATTAAATATATATATTTTTTTCCTAAAAAACAAATAAACCACAATAAAAGTTCACCAGAAAAAGAAATTAGCAAGGCTTAAGGATTTCTAAAGGAACCAGTAAGGATTAAGTACCTAAAAACATAGTTAAAATGAAATAATATACAGTATAACATATTAATTGTAATTTGGTAACAAAATAAAACACACACTAGTAATAAAGAACATATATAGGCTATCTATATCTTTATAAAATATATATTAATTAGCCTGTAATAAACTTTTGCCTGTCATAATTCAAATCTATAAAAAAGTAAGATGGAAGAGGCTTATATCATTTGTATCAATGGAGACAATGAATAAATCAATTTTTTGATGTTATTAATAACCTAAAAATTGATTTCTTCATTGTCTTCTTTATATTAAAAATATTTTTATACTCATAAAATATTGACTGTTTTATAAATATTGATATTTTTATTCATGAATTTTAATGGAGACTAATGTGCATGTAAAATATTCGTAAAATTAAATTTACATATTTGTGAGTCCAAAAATACAAAATATGGCTATTAAATACAGGAACAAACATAGGACAACAGGATCAACTGCTTCAGTAAGATTTTTTATTGTAGACAGAAGTTTTATTTTTTTAAAATAGTGTTTTTCAACCTTCTTGAATACGCGACCCCTTTACAAGTTAAAAAATTCTGGCGACCCCCCTAGGGCCATATTAAAACTATATTAGTGATTTTAAAAACTATGTACCGTGATACCTCGACTTACGCGATTTTCAAATCTCGTCGATTCGCCTTTTGTTTGAGCACCACGCAACTCTTGATTACTCATTCCCTCCAAACTATTGTTCAACTTACATGTTCAGACGTGTCACGCAGAATCGACACATAGCTATAATTTATTGTGTGTTATTTTTTTCTGTGTTTGTTATATCTACAGAGACTCGAGAGACTCTATGTGGTGATTTCTTGTAACAATGAACGAATCAAAAGACACGATAAAATTAATGAGAACATTTATTAGCTTACATACATCCGACTTGGATTTCACACATTGAGAAATTATACTCCGACTTATGCGAATTCGACTTATGCGGTTATCGCTCGGTCCCACCTATCGCGTAAGTTTGGGGTATTACTGTATTTAATTTTCTTTATGTTGACATAAATTATTGTTGATGAAAATGAAAATTTCAGAAGAATCGACAATAACTTAACACACACAAAGTATGAAACTTCCTTTAATTATAACATTGGGCACAGGGAGCTGTTGACTTTTTTTTACTTTTTTTTTTAGGATTAGAATTTTCAGCTTCTACTTTTCTACTTTTTATTTCTTTTTGCAAATCAGCTCAACACTTTTTCGGCTATAATTTTCTGGGGTGGGCCGTAATTCTCGCTGAAACTGTAGTTTTTTTAATGTAGTGTAGGACCTACAAACACTTGTCTTTTTCTTTTACCCGTGACCCCCTGTGTAAGGCGTTGCGACCCCCCTGGGGGTTGCAACCCACAGGTTGAAAAGCACTGCTTTAAAATAATGAAAAGTAATTATAAAAATATAAACAAGTTTTTTTAAAATTTTACATTGTTTATATGGTTTATTTTAAGTTATTAAAGTGATTCAACTTTTATACATTTATATAAAATTTATATAAATGTACACATTTATATACATTTATATACATTTATAAAATTTCATTATACAAATTTAAAACCATCCCCCCAGAATTTTTCCTTTAATTAAATAACAGGATTGATACAATTACCTCACAATACATGATTTAAAAAAATATGATATTTTAATTTTTATCCTTTCAATATACTCCCTTTTGTCTGTATCTAAACATTGTTGCTTTCTCATCTGCCATTGTATGAAATAATGTTATAGCTTCTCTCTTTTATCAAGTCAGTAGGTCTTTCATTTTCTTTTTAAATGTGTATTTATGTGTAATTATATATTACAAATTTTACAAATACTTACAGAATTAATTACATTAATTTTTTTTGGAAAAATAATTTCAAATATATTATTATTAAGTTAATAGTTAGTGAAACAGTTGAAACATTTAATCTTTATTTTAATAAGCAGTTAAATTTTGTAAGAGTAGACAAGAAATTATAAGTTTTTATCATCAAATAAACATTAAGTTAACAAAACATGAGTAGTTAAATATATTAATTATAGAAATTCAATTAAAGCCAAAAAAATTAAATATCTTTAATTCTATAAAGTTTTTCAACTATATAAAAGTATAACAGTTTTCTTTTATTTAAGATGATATAAGACAATATATATTTTATATTATTATTATATTTAATGATTATTTTACATTTTAACACTTATTATAAATGTTACATACCTGTTTCACAATCATCAGGACATGTACTCCATTCAGAAAACTTAGTGACTGAACAATCAATTGGGCATGGTATTGTACATGCTCTTTTAACAGCAGGTTTAGAAATACCACTACATCTATAAATTATTTGAAATTATAAAGTTATTATTATTGAAAGCTTTTCTCTAATATGCATTGATGATGATAAATATGTAGTGCATACATACACAATCACACACACACACACACAGTTAATAAATTATCACCAACTATATACAGTATATCATCATCGTCTCTAAAACCCAATTTACTAGTTAAAGCCAAAAGCCAAATTATTTCTGGATTAAACTGCATAATTTCTAATCCTCTTCACATATTTAATGAATAGATTCAATCTTTTCTTATATTGTCCTTGGCATTCAGAATTCTCTGTCACGTACAGATTCAATCCTTTTGAATTTATTCATCAGCAAACAAATTTCATTGAAGAATTACGTTTTTGAAATTTTTTCTTTAATATTACTAAATTTCATTCCTTTAATGAAAAATATTACTTAGAAAATTTCCATTCATTCATCATAAATAATAGGAATCTGAAAAATTATAAAAATTGTAAGACAACTTAAATACTTATAATTATGTCATTAAGGCATTGTTTGAAATTGTCCTTATTTTATTAATATATTCTATAAAAGTCACTATGCAGTGACTTTCGGAACATCCTGTAAAACAGTCAATTTGAAAATGTTAATCTATGAAAACAAACAAACAAAGATAGATTTCCCTTAACCATCCCACACAAAATATTATTTTTAAATTTATTTCATTCTGTCTTACTGGTGTCAATGTTCTTTCTTGACTTTTCCTATATAGCAACAATAAAGAAGCCGCAATTGTTATATGCATATGGAGTAGTTTCATTTAGTGATTTGAACTAGTTTTTAATATATTTCACCCACAATGCTCATAATAAATTAAAAAATATATTTTTAAAATTTTAATTTTTTTTCAATTAGTAAATAACAATAAATAAGTGGATTTTTACTAATAATGATAAAGATAGATCAAATTGCTTTGAAAGATCAACAAAAATGATCATATCCTCTTAAGAAATGAGGAAAATAATTAATATATGTCCTGTGNTATTTTACATTTTAACACTTATTATAAATGTTACATACCTGTTTCACAATCATCAGGACATGTACTCCATTCAGAAAACTTAGTGACTGAACAATCAATTGGGCATGGTATTGTACATGCTCTTTTAACAGCAGGTTTAGAAATACCACTACATCTATAAATTATTTGAAATTATAAAGTTATTATTATTGAAAGCTTTTCTCTAATATGCATTGATGATGATAAATATGTAGTGCATACATACACAATCACACACACACACACACAGTTAATAAATTATCACCAACTATATACAGTATATCATCATCGTCTCTAAAACCCAATTTACTAGTTAAAGCCAAAAGCCAAATTATTTCTGGATTAAACTGCATAATTTCTAATCCTCTTCACATATTTAATGAATAGATTCAATCTTTTCTTATATTGTCCTTGGCATTCAGAATTCTCTGTCACGTACAGATTCAATCCTTTTGAATTTATTCATCAGCAAACAAATTTCATTGAAGAATTACGTTTTTGAAATTTTTTCTTTAATATTACTAAATTTCATTCCTTTAATGAAAAATATTACTTAGAAAATTTCCATTCATTCATCATAAATAATAGGAATCTGAAAAATTATAAAAATTGTAAGACAACTTAAATACTTATAATTATGTCATTAAGGCATTGTTTGAAATTGTCCTTATTTTATTAATATATTCTATAAAAGTCACTATGCAGTGACTTTCGGAACATCCTGTAAAACAGTCAATTTGAAAATGTTAATCTATGAAAACAAACAAACAAAGATAGATTTCCCTTAACCATCCCACACAAAATATTATTTTTAAATTTATTTCATTCTGTCTTACTGGTGTCAATGTTCTTTCTTGACTTTTCCTATATAGCAACAATAAAGAAGCCGCAATTGTTATATGCATATGGAGTAGTTTCATTTAGTGATTTGAACTAGTTTTTAATATATTTCACCCACAATGCTCATAATAAATTAAAAAATATATTTTTAAAATTTTAATTTTTTTTCAATTAGTAAATAACAATAAATAAGTGGATTTTTACTAATAATGATAAAGATAGATCAAATTGCTTTGAAAGATCAACAAAAATGATCCTATCCTCTTAAGAAATGAGGAAAATAATTAATATATGTCCTGTGAGAAAGATCATAAAACAAAAACTGTATGTATGAAATGCAAGTATAATATTGAATACCTGTAATGAGTAAAGCATTATTATATGTAAATCTTTCTGTAAAGATTAAAAGATAGTAAGCAAACTATAAAGTTCAAAAAATGATATTTTATTTTTTCCTTTTTTAGACATGAATACACTTTCATTCTTTGTTATTTGATTTTTGTGGAACAATTAATTGAATGAATGCTTTTTATTTGTTTTATATTAAATAGATTTTTTAAAATATTGTTAAAAATTTACAGATGGAAGAGTTACTCTTAATAATTATTCAAGAAGATAAATGTCAAATTTTTAAAAACATTTTTTTAGTTTTGATAACTTAAACATCATCATAAATAAAGAAACAGACAAAAGCTATATATAACTATTAAACAGAATAGTTTAATGTCATATTNTACCACCACGACCAGGTGGTGACCACGGGAGAGTTATTATTATTACTATTATGTGTGGACATTGAATAATAATAATAAACAGGGTGATCATAATCAAAGTACCCCTATTCAATGCTGTCTAGACAGATATTTAGAAATCCAAATGCAACCAAATCTAATATTGCAACATTTCAGGACATGCAGAAAAACATCTCTGTAAAACAAAAAAATTAACACCAAAACTCACCATTAGGCACTTCTGGCACTGTGTATAATAAAAATGCAGTTTCTTTTGGATAAGCACATGCATTGTAGCCAAGTTTTAGTTATAAAAGTGGCTACAACTTTAAATATAATTGTCCTTCTCAGCTGCATCATTATTGCATTTGGACCACATGCATGTTTTTCATCAGATTCCATTGCACTTACCTAATGTTACAATCTACTGCAGATTCACAACCATGTGCGCTATATGATACTGAGCATCTCCTCAGTATATCTCATTTTTCAGCCATGGACACTGATAGATGCTCAACACATACAAAAATCCTACTGCAACAATAATGATGTCTTAAGTCAACTATTCTCATGCAAGATGGACTGCCTCCATATATTCGATGCTATATGCAGTAGTTTATGGTAAAATTTCACCAATAAGTCTATGCATTTCCTACCCTCTAACACCTTAGATCTTAATCCATTTGATTTTTTTTTATGGGGACACCTAGTATGATTTATTGAGGACATGTTACAAATTGGACAGCCTTGAAAGACAATACTGTATCATACTACATGTGAGAAGCATTACAGGTGATCATTTATAGTCAGTCACATTAAACACTATTAATCATGTTCAGAATGGGGATCAAATTAAACAGTACCTTCTCTATTGCTAAGGATTTTATAATATGAATGCCTTGTACAACTAACATTTTTATTGCTTGCAGTATCAAAAATGCCAATGGCAAGTTTTGGTATGTTTTTTTAATGAAAATGATTGCATGTCCTGAAATATCATCATACCAGATTTAATTATATATAGACTAATAAATATTAGTCTTGTGAAGTCTATAGACCAAACTGGAGTTGTCTTGGTCTTGGAAGATGAAAGTCTTAATTTCAGTAGTGAAAATTTAAAATAATAAAATTATTAGAGACACAATGATAGCAGTGCTAAAAGTATTCTTGCAACACTGATCTAAGTATTAGTTCTAGAGCATACTGAGCATGTGTGAAGAAAACCTTTTCTTTATGCATTTTGTTTTCCAGCAACTTCAGCTTCTATTGAGAAAATTTTTTCTCCAAGTGGCTCAATTATGCATTCTCAACATGCCACAATGCATTAGAATTACTGATTTTTTAAAGCAGAATAAAGACCTCTGAATACTATTCTGTTTGGTTAGTACAAAATTCACAGAAAAACTTTAAGTCTACATTTCACAAATTATGTTTTAGACATTCTTTTAATGTAAATACCAATGCATTGTAATATTAACAACATTCTAAATTTGAAGCTTATTGCATTATTTATAACTTTTGTTGTTTTAATAATTAACTTTTGTAAGTATGTTACATAACAAGTTTCTCGAATTTAATTTTGGTTTTAGATGTGAAATATCTGATAGTAATAAAAATCTTGGTCTCATCTTGGTCTTGTCTTGGTCATAGTAGATGATTTCATCTTGATCATGCAAAATAGTGTCCCATTAACAACACTGTCAAATACATCTCTGTGGACAGTGTTGAACTGGAGTACATCATAAATACCAAGTGATCATAATAAAACAATACTAAACATATTGAAATATAATAGTCTAAAAAAAAAATTAAAATTTTGCTAGTTTTAAGGACAATTTTCAATAATAAAAAATAACTCAATTTAAATTTTATAATTTATATAAATTCTCTTTTATAAGAAAAATAATGTTTTCAGTTAAAGATACAAAACTTTTTTTGATTAAAAAAACTTGTCTTGCAGTTTAAAGTTTTAAAAGTGGCTTGATTATGCATTCTCAGATACTTTAAGATGTTTTTTTAATTGCAAGTTAATAAATTAGTTAATTACAGTAGTTGGTAATTATCATTTTTTGGCACAAGAGCCTTTTAGACTAAACTGTACCAGATATATGATATTGTAAGTTAGAATTTCTGTGTTTTCATAAACTTTGTATAATTCATAATTTTTAATTTCTTACTACATTACATTACACTTACATTTAAACAATTTAAATTATGTACAGTATTTTTCTTTTTCTTTATATTTAATTAATATTAAAAAAAATGAAAAAGACAATGATTCACTAATTTTATCACATTTTGTTTTTAAAATAATGTAAAAATAATTATTTATATAATAATTTAACATTTAAAAAATTTCTGAAGTACCAAACTTTAAATAATTTTAATCAAAAAATGAAATTATATTTGATTGGCATGATTTTTTGGCAGTAAGTCAAAAGGTAGAAAACAATCAAAAAGAGATACAAATAAATGTCCATAAACTGAAACCAATGCATTGACAACAGAATGTAAAAAGACAAAAATACAACATATAATGAGAATTGCAAATAAGAAAATATAATAACAAAAAATAATCATATATACTACAAATAAGCAAATAAATGTGAAAATAAATGAAAAAAAAAAAAAAAATAGAAAAACTAAAAGAAAATGTGTAATAATAATGGATATATATCACAAAAACAATAAAATTAATACAGAATGACTAAACATGTCATATTTATAGCTGTCAAAAAATCAAATAGAAACTAAGTTTAAACTCTGGTCCAATTTAAACTAGTTGTGCATGTGTGTGAAATTGACAAACTGCCCCTCCAAAATGCTAATTTATTTGTATTTTATAGTATAAAATAAAATTTTATTCACTAAACATAGTAGAATCAAAATTAATAAAAGTTATATTAAAACTTTAGTATATGCTAATAGTACAGTATTCCAAAAGACCATCTTGAAAGTTTTTTCTGTACTTATACATTTCTATTTGTGGCCATATCACTTATCAAACCAGTCCCACAAACCATTTTTTTTTAATCATTGCAGCTTCAACATTCAATGATTATTCCTGGTTAATGAATATCGGTGAAAAAAGAATATAACAGTGATTCCTCAACCTCTTTACCCCATGGTCTTGTTCCTAAAGACTATCTATTCTCTAAAATGAAAGAAATTGAAGTTTCATCAGCAAAGGCAGGCCTGTAAAAACACCATAAAATAGCTTCTAGGACTGCTTTGTTAAGTGTTATAGATGGGAAGTATGTAGCTAAAATAGGAGCTTATCTTAAAAGTGGTATGATGTAAGAATTTCCATATACAGTGGAACTCGCTTAATGAGCATAATTCGTTCCAAAGTCTTACTCGTAATGCGAAACACTTGTTAAAGTGAAACAATTTTTCCCATATAAATTAATTTAAAATACGATAATGCGTTCCATGCCAAAAAAAATATTCAAATATTTTATGTATAATATTTATTAAAAGAAAATTATACAATAAACATTGTTAAGGAGCGTGAATCATCATCATCTTTTCTTCTAGTGCGGAATGAACCAACCTGAAATGCAAATTCAATTTGCAGAAAACAAAAAAAAAAAAAACTACTGCTCTGCTATTTATTTGCATAAATTTTGGCCAGTCTTGAGTAGTGATAGAATTTTAATTGAATTAAAAGTTAATTCTTAAATCTAATTTTTTATTTCCATGAAAAGTGTCATTTCTAATTTTCATTACATCATTGTAATGCATTTTAACATTTATTAATAATGGAACAAAATCATCAAATTTTTAAGTAAGTGGGAAATATTTTCATAGTACTGTCTGTTCAATAACTGAAACTCATTCTTTACCTTAACAAATGTTGCACTAGTAGCTTTCATAAAAATACAAAACGAATTTAACAAATCCATAAAAGTCATTTTTATTACTACTTATGTTTTTTTTTTTTTAATTTCTTAATATAAAATTTTTATAATGAATTAGATAATTAAATTTATAATAATGAATTTGTATTTAATATAAAACATTTCACATGAAGATAAAAAAATTTCAATAATGATAATATCCAAAATGTATAAAATTTAACATTTTAATATTTCAGAGAATTTTTGCATAATTTTTCTGGAAAAATACAAAAAATTAAACATGTTTAAATTATTAAAAAAATAATTACTTTTTAATAGCTACATATATATCTTCTTTATCATATATGCATAAGACTTTCCGAACTTGTATGCCTTCACCACATGTCGCATTTCCAGTTATTCTGCATTCATTCCATGGAAGTGTTTTCCATTTGAACCCTTTACAGCTATCTTGATTACAAATATCAGTGTTGGAAAGAAATTGAGGACAGCGTTTGCCTCCTATTATAAAAATGTTTAATTATTGTTATACTTCATTTATAATAAATTTTTCAATATGCTAAATTAGAATATATTTTAAAATATATTTTGTCAGAACATAGAAACTTACCAATTCCAGCATGAGCTAATATTGTTCTATTTTGGAAATATTCTCCACCAGCATGATTATCTGAACAAGAAACGGAACATTTTGACCATGGTGACCATTCAGATATAACACAATCTTCAGGACATGGCACATAACAAGTAGTAGTATCATGTGGGGGCAGAAGATGTAAAATACACATTGCTTCTACAGCTAATGACTGAAATAGATAAGTTATAATGAAATTTGAATTTAGAAATTTTATAAAAATAAAATATTTAATTTAATCATATTTACCCCATTTACTTTAATACATTGTCTTTCTCTTGTTTGAATACCTTCTCCACATGTTTGCTGTGAATGAAGTCTGCATGGTCCCCATTCACCATATTTCCACATAACTAATTGTGATTTCTCACAGAGATCAACTTCATGTAAATGTGGACATTCTTTTCCATTTGATGTCGGTTCAACTAATATCTCTCTACTTCTCAATTTATATCCTATAAAGCAAAATACATTAATTGGAAAGCTTAATTTATAAAGATTAGAATCATTGACAATTATTTCCTCTCTTTATTAAAATATATTGCTAGAGTTACAAGATGTGTTTGTCTTTTGTATTTCTGATGATTTAATTTTAGTTTTTGACACAGAGCTTGTTTAACAATAGTTTATCATAAATTTCAAATTACAGTAAGTGATCAGTTAATGAACAAATCGGACAACAAACACATGGTCTAATAACGAACGCCTCACAGAACAAAGAAGAAGCGACTCTGCATTTAAGATTTGTAAAACTATATTTAACTGGCATCTAAGAATGATTTATGGAACAAGACTTTCAAAATTGTAAACATAACCTTCTTTTGCACTAGTTGGTTTCTGTTCTCTGAAAATTTGTAAGTGCTTTTTTGAAATTTTTATTTAAAAAATCTGGTAATATTATGGGGCCCAAAAAGAGTGGAGCATCAAGAACTATGTTCACTATAGAAACTAAGCAAGAGATAATAGCCAAATTAAAGAGTGGACAGAAGGTGTCTGATGTTGCTGGACAGTATGGCTTCAACAGATCTACAGTATGCACAATCTTAGCTAAGAAAAAAAAGACTCAAACAAATAATGGAGTAACAAAAATCACGTCTGAGAAATAAAGATGTGCTATCCATGAAAAANCTTATGATTAAATCAGACTTTCACAGTCTGATTTAAAAAAAAATATATGCCAACAATAGATTTCAATTGTTCAATAGATTTATGCTTAGCATATTATACTTTATTATACAAGGGCTGTTTCTCTTTTAACTTCCAATGGTCTATAAAACAAAGACAAATGTAAATAACAAAATGAATTTATTACCAAAAGATAGGTACAAACATGATTACTTTTCAACATAATCATCGTGAAGATTAAGGCATTTGTCTATCTATCTGTGGATGATCCTTGAAATCCCCTTCACAGAATGTTGCCACTAGAGACTTGATATGGTCTTAATGACGTTGTTTTGAAGATCGTCATTAGTCTCAAACCTCTGCCCTCCTAGCCACGTTTTCAGTTCAGGAAAGAGGTGGAAATTACTCAGTGCTAAAAGGGGCTATACGCTGGGTATTTAAAGGTGGTGAAGACTTCCAACTAGCTTGGAACTTTTTAATGTGTGAAGACTTCCACCTCTTTCCGGAACTGAAAGCGTGGCTAGGAGGGCATAGGTGTGGTACTGTTTGTATTGAAATGAGAAATACATGAGATATAATTTTCAAAAAACACCAAAAAAACTTTATTTTGTATTTTGAACAAATATTGAGCAGGTTCCAACTCCAAGACAAGTCCCTTGTAATTCCCAATGGTCACGATACAGAACCTCATGGTATAAAACCGGCTCTGTCACAAACCTTATGTCCCAGAAATAACAAACAGTTTGGGACTTTACAAGCATCCTTAAGCTAATATTAACCTACTTATGATTAAAATAATATGATATATGTACAGATAGAGGAAGGAAAAAGAAGCAATCTAGACAGAGGGGCCCAATTGTCTTGAATGTTTCCTTTGCACATCGACCAGATCCAACTTTCTTTCTTTCAGTTAATGTTCTCTCTCTCTCTCTGAACATCTCAGTGAATTTGGGATGTTCTCTCTGAAAATGCCTTGAAGACACAAAAATTGTCTATGTTCCTAACTCGAACACCACTTCCTCATACTCTTGTCATCTGCCAAAAATGACCAAGAGTCCCTTCTCAATATGTCTGATCTCCTTGGTGTCTACCCAAAAAGTGCTTAACTTGCCCCCACTTTCCCTTCATTTGTTCTTACCACCCCATCCTATCGGGGAAGGGTTCCATCTGAATTTCTTGGAAAATGAAACAGAAGAAAAGCAAGAATAAAGGAAAGTGAAAAAATGAAAAAAATACCAATATGATAAAATTCTATATACTATACAAATGATATGGTAAACAGCCACAGAGGTTTGAGACTTATGATAATCTTCAAAACAATGTCATTAAGGCCATCTCAAGTCACTGGCAGCAACATTCTGTAAAGAGGAGATTTCAAAGTTCATCCACAGATAAACAAATGCACCACAACAAATCTTCACAATGATTATGTTGAAAAGTAACCATGTTTGTAACTAACTCTTGAGGATAATTTCATTTTGTTATTTACATTTGTCTTTGTTTTATGGACCAACAGAGGTTGAAAAAGAAACAGCCATCGTATTAAACATAAATCTAGATAAAACTGATATAGTTTATATAAACTGTGAGTATTTGTAAATAAGATAAATTGAGTTGAACTTGAATGAAACAAAGCATATTAATGGAAAGCTTTTATCAAATATATTGTTTTTATAGAATGTTGTTATGTAAAATCATATATTTTTCAGAAAAGAAAATTAATTTATGCACACAGCCAAAGATTCATTTGGATTGGAACTATACGTTTTCCAACAAGATTTGGCAATATGTAATACATATAGACAGGTAAGTGTACATTAGTGATTTAATGTGTTCAATATCTTTAAAATATTGAACAATTATACACCTTTGCAAAGGATGTTCTCAAAACTGGGAATATAAGTGATGCATTGGACTGGAAATTCGCTAGATCTCAACCCAATCGAAAATGTGGCATTTCATGACTTTTGAAGTTCAAAACGCATGGCTTTCAACAGAATGATAGCTGAAAAATAATTGCTCTTATATGACACCATAACATTACAGTAATACCCCGAACTTATGCGATAGGTGGAACTGAGCGGTAACCGCGTAAGTCGGGGTATAATTTCGCATATAAATACATACAAATAATTTTTAATTGGGGCTGGAGACTAAAGAAAACAATAATTTAGAAAAAAATGTTTAATAAAATCTTAGATAATACATATGTATAACAAATTAGGCCTATATTATTTTACAATTTTTCACATTTACTTGGTTATTACACCATAATTTTAACATTGTTTCCATCTCAGCGATAATACTGTGACGTTTACAAATGATGTTTGAATTTAAAGATTGAGCATTTTTCACAGCTTCGAGAATTTTTTCTTTACCTTTTACAATTGTTCTGACCGACAATTCTGGTAGATCAAACTTCTTTGCCAATTCACAAATTTTCATTTTTGTATTGAAGTCTTTAATAATGGGTATGTTCGTAAAGTCAAACGAGTTAAATGCGTTAGTAATGAATCGAAATAGGAATAACGATGACTTCATTCTCTCTTAACTCATTCAACTTTACGAACATACCCAATGTTAACTTTACATTCCAAAGATAAAGTTTTTCTTTTCTTGTTTGATGCAGAAGAATTAGTTCTACTTCATTTGGATGACATAGTAGAGTCTCTCAAGTCTCCGTAGATATAACAAACACAGAAATAAATAACACAAAATAAATTGTAGCTATGTGTGGATTCTGCACGACACATCCGAACATGTAAGCTGAACAATAGTGTGGGGGGAGTGAATAATCAAGGGTCGCGTGTCACTCAAACAAAAGATGAATCGACGAGATTTGAAAATCGCGTAACTCCGGGTTCATGTAAGTTGGGGTAGCATAAGTCGGGGTATTACTGTAGTTGTGATGTTATTTAAAGCCTGACTGACAGCATTCCAGGGAGAATTTGGGCTGCTGTTCAAACCAAAGCTGATGTCACAAAATACTAATGAATATATTGTTCTGTTAATATATTTGTATCCATTTTCATGAATATTTTGTCTAACTTTTTTTGTTTATTAACTCTTCTTCAGGCATATCCTCAAAACAAATTTCTACATTTTCAAGCATTGCATTGTATATGTCTGTCATATATGAATAATTTGCATGTCTTATTTTTTTATTTATCATTACTTATCATTAATACATTATCTGTATCATAGATTGCACCTACATTATTAATATTTTACTGACTTTCATAAACTCAGCAGGTGTGCAATACTTTAGAACATCAGTGTATATTCAGAACTATTTTTCAGCAGAATGTGTTGGAATATCATACCACCAGAAAACATAAAACAGTATCAATAGTAAAAGCAGTTTCTCCATAAGAAAAATTTTATATTTTCATGCAAAAAGTCTGCTGGTAATTGGCATAATAAAAGTAAATAAAATGAACTGAAATTACATGACTTCCAGTCCAGACTGGAAATTTGTATATAGTTAACAGGCATTCAGCTCCTAAGCTTTCTGTATCTAGTCTTGATTTTCATCTATCTAACTTCATTCTCAAGATTAACAAATGATGAATAGACAGACAACACTGTAAATGAATGTATAGGTCTGAAATTTAAAAATTGCAGACATGTACATTCCAATAACTTTTAAGTTTCAGAATTACAATATTGCCAAAAAAATTATTTAATTGCTAATGTCGTTGGTATGCATTATGCCATTCTCAAGCCTGCAAAAATAGAACAGAATAATATTTGATTCAAATATCAAATAAAGTTTTTTTTCTATACTATAGATTGATACTCACACCAAATATTGTATAGCAGGACAGAGAGTTCACTGAGATTTGCGTTATAAACGCTTTTTATCACAAGTACTTTCGACGAATTTATAATTGTCGTCATCAGGCGAATAAAGATTTTTAAAAAGATTGAACAGAAATATTCTGAGGAAGAAGAACAGAATGCATATTTTCAAATTAAAACATTTGATAAAACTGTTAAGAACAAGACATGAATTTTTGAACATGTTCGAAGTTGTGCACGCAATGTGATACTTATGTTGCGAAGCAGTGCATACAAGGATACAAACCCACGTTAGCAATCTGATGGTGGATGAGAATCATTGTTTAACCGCTTATACAGCATGATCCACACATTGGACAGATCAAGAGTGGGAGTGTTCCATCCCTCTGAGGTTGCTGTGAAAAAGGACTCCCATATAAAGAGGAGTTTTTGATTACTGCAGCATCTGAGCATTGTTGCTTGGGTCCATAATGGGTTGTAACCCTACTTGATCATCTTTTTTTAAGTTCTGTAGTGCACCTTCCCTTCATTACATCATCTTGGTGATCTGCTAGGCGACTAGTAAGCATTCTTGTTGTGGTCCCAATGTACTTTGTATTCACTTCTGTTGCAAGATTCTCTAGCAGTACAACATAGACTCCTAATTTCTCGAAAGTGGAGAACTTGTCCTGATCATTGCAGATGAGCCTGTATAGACTTGGTAGATTGCGTAGATTTTTTTCCAAAGGTTTTTTTTATGACTATATTTTCACTTCTTGTCCAAGTATTTGATGTGCATTATGTGGTGTTTTTCATGGGACAGCTAACTTGGACTGCCCCAGACATAATAAACTCTAACTATAATACTACATAATCCTCTTTAGTTCTAACAATCTAAAATCCACAATCCACATTCTATGTATGCTAAAATTTGTTTTATAATTCAATACATAGCTTATTCAGAATATTTAGCAAAAATTCTATCTCATACATTATTATATTAATTACATATGCAATCAAACTAATAATTAATTTAATTATCAAATGAACAGCCAATTCTTTATCAGACTATTTAATAATTAAGTAGCCTTAAGTAGCTTGATAAAGAATCTGCCTGTTCATTTGATATTTAAATTATTATGTTAATATTGAACAAATAGAATATACTTCTATACATTATACGAACATCTTGAAAAACATATACTATATAATAATTTATTTATTTATTATATATCTAAATTAAACAAATTATTCCATTTTCAAATTGTATCAGTTATTTTTCTATTAGGTATATAATAAAATCAAAATAGTTAATAATAATTTAAAGATTATAAGCAAATTTAATAATCATATTTAGATATCAATATAAAATAAAACATTTATTACCTTCCCCAGATATCTGAAAAAAATCTGTTTTATTATATGGTATGCAAGGACTCCATTGAGTCCACTGAGAAACTTCACAATCTTGTGGACATGGGATATGACATCTCTGAATTGTAGCAGGTTTAGATTCTTTACAAAACAATGTTGAAACTGGTACATGATCTAAATGAAAAAATATCCATAATGAAAGAAAGCTTACGTTTTATTATTGATTATTTACATTCATAGCATTATCAGTTTTATTATTATTATTATTTTGCAAATGTCAGCTGATACTGGTTCCAAGTGCCAGACTAAAGTCAAGGTGTAGTAACCCAAACAAGTGTTACATTAAGCTTCTGTGTTATTGGTATACATGTCAACATCTAAAAATTTCCTAACAATGTGACATGTTCAATATTGCAGCTTTCTGTAATGCCATGTATATATTTTTATTAAGGTTTAATGTTTCAAGACTTTTGTGCAGAGTATTTGGTATAACACCAGTAGAAGAGAGGACAACAGATACAATATATACCTTATCCATCCTCCACATCTGTCTTATTTCTTGAGCAAGTGGAGTGTATTTGTTGATTTTTTTTTATGTTATGAGTGTTTGGAACAGAGATGTCTATTATATTAAAGCAATCTTACTGCATTTGTCAATGAGAGTGACGGACAAAGTTAAGATGTAACTACAGTAAGGAAATGTTTTGTCTATGTGCTGCTTGTATATTTATCTTTTTAAAAGTTTCCTGACTACTTGACATATATTTAGTACAGCAGCCTTCTGAAGTGTAATGAACAGTACTTGCTATTGTAAAGTCCTAATATTTTGAGATTTCTGTGTTAAGTAAGTGGTGTGACACACGTGCAAGAAAGGATTATAGGCACAATATGTATCTCATCCATTCTCTATAGACACTTTAATATATCCTTGGGTAAAATTCCAAGTATTTACTAATTTTTTCAGTGTATTTATTTTGAATGTTATGGATGTTTAGTACAGCTATGTCTATGATGTATATGATTTTACTTTGTTTTTCAATGAATGTGATGTCTGATCTGTTGTGATGGACTACTTTGTGATTACAGGTCGGAGTGTTGTTTTCTATGACTATCTGAGATGTATATTTGTAGTATAGTTCCTGGGTATGTAATAGTTTGCAGTTGTGTGCGAGCTTTTGATGTATTACATTTACTATTATTATTATTATTATTATTATGTTGGGTTCAGTGGGTAATACTCGGTTAAACCGGTGGCTGTGTACTATGCCGGACCAGAGTCAAGGCATAGCAACCAAAACAAAACTAAAATTAAATAAGTGTGTCAGTGTCAGTGTCAGTATTCAGGAATTTCCTAACAATGTGGCATGTATTCAATATAGTGGCCTTCTGTAGTGTGATGTATGTATTTCTACTCAATNTATTACATTTACTATTATTATTATTATTATTATTATTATGTTGCAAATGTCATGCTTAGCTGATACTGGGGCCAAGTGCTATACTGGACTAAAGACAAGGTATTAGTTACCCAAACAAGTGTAACATTAAGCTTCTGTGTTATTGGTGTATGTATCCATGTTTAGAAACTTCCTAACAATGTAATGAGTATGTTTTTGTTAAGGTTTTAGGTTTCTAAACTTTTACATAGTGTATGTGGTATGACACAGGTGGAAGAGAGAACAATAGGCATAATAAATATTTTCCATTCTCCACAGTGTCCTTAATTCTTATACCCCGTTCGCACTGAGCATTTCGATCTAGATTGTGACTAAGGTCGGAGAGTGTTCCGTAATACGAACCATTTCAATCTCGACTGAAACGAGGTTCAATTGCGATCGACTGGAGAGAGTTCTCGAAACTAGATTCAGTCATAAGAGAGATCCCACAATCCCACACGTGCAAGAAAATACAAGGTGGCTGCGGAACACGTGTCGGGCTATCAAGAGAGAAATAAAAAAGACATATGGAGAGACGATGACATCTGTCTATTATTAGATGTATGGCAAGAAAAAGTATTTATTTCTAACCAAAACTTCCATTTTGTTTGTTGGTGTTTGTGACTTACCGTGTAGTTACGTCAGTTTAATGATTGCGTGTAATAGCCAGGTTCTTCTCAAGTGGACTGCCTGTGCGAACAGCACGACGTTCGACTAGTGACAGTCACAATCCAGATTGTAGGTAAATTGAGATCAAAGTGAGTCATGGATTGTGTGCGAATGTAGTATTAGGCGAGTGGAGTGTACCTGTTAATTTTTTAGTATGAGCATTTTTCATGTTATGAGTATTTGGAATAAAGATGTCTATTATACGAGGTATGAGCAATTACTTATTGTGACATCATCCCAATGCCAGGTTGGAATTTTAATCATATTTTTAATGTATTTAATTTAAAATATGTGCTCTCCACCTCAAATTGTTAGTAGTGTCTTGCCCCTGTACATCATACTTTTCCTTTAACAATAGAGTCATGCTGGTCATCTGTTAATTGCTTTCAGGTGAAAAGTTTTGAATTGAAATAATGTGACTTCTGGTTTGCATCAGAAGTTCACATAGACTTATTCAGGGCCTCCTGCCCCAAAGGGCTGGCCTCTGATTTCATCTATCTAACTCAGTGGTTCTCAACCTTTTTATCATCACGACATACTTTTAATAATTTAAAAATTTGGCGGCACACATGGTTATTTCAGTAAGTACCGCAGGACAACAGGTGACATCATAACAGTGATTTTTAAATGCATTTGGTTATTTAAGTCAAATTTTCTAAACGTCTTGGTAACTACAAGCAGTTACTAGTAACACCAGTTACAATTTCCAAACATGCTCTAGGAAGGTAGAACTTGTCTGACGTCATTTATGTATGGATATTTGCAGTGGTGGAACACTTCAAAAATCTTGTGGCACACTTAAGTGCCTCGGCACAGTGGTTGAGAATCACTGATCTAACTGTTCTCAAGATTAAAGAAAGACAGACAGATGGCACTGGGAATTTATAGGTCTACAGTTTTTTTCAAATTGCAGCCTAATAAGTGATATCTTGTTGCATTTGCCAATAAAAGTGACATCAGGTCTATTGTAATGAATTGTTTTATCTGTGATTATGACTCTATCATAGTATATTTTGTGTGTCATTATTTAATACTGACTGTGGAGTATATTTGTAGTATACACAAAACGACTTCTAATCTTAACACTGCGTTGAGTAATAACAATCCACAAAACCTTTTTTTATAACAGTGTTGTGTCCGTAACAATCTCCACTAACGTTTTCAATCTCCACCGAGGTCTTCTTCAGGTGTTGACTAAACAGTGTCTCCTCTTGACTGTTGGAATGATGACGCCAGAGATGTAAATAATGTGTTTATTGCGTTTCATCCCTCTGCTTGTCCCAGTTCAAATTCTTTGAATAAGTATCTCCACGCCTGTGTGATCGTCTCTCTGTCTTTAAAGTTGATGCAGGTGCCCCCAATGTTGGCTTTATAAATCTCCCAGGCCTCCAGGTGACGGATGTGATCAATACGAAACACCTGTCTGATTACTTTGGTGTTTTGGAAGTCTGCCCGAATTTCAGAGTTACCTGAATGTTTAATAATCTGTGTGCAAGCTCTTGGTGTATTATATTTGCTACTTGATTATGCCTATGTAAATAGTATGTTTGTACAAATAGCTTGCAATCAGAGGTTATACGTTGTATTGTTTCTGACAGAATGTGGCATTTTATGCATGAGTCATTTGTGAGTGATGTATCTTTCAAAATGTGTTTTCTGCAGTTTTAGTGTTCATTATCATTATTAAATTTAGTATACAGGGTGGTCCATTTTAATCAACCTACTGGAATAACTAAAAATATGCATCTTACAAAAAGTCATTGAACCAAACATGTTAAGACTTCAAGGACAAGATACAGCTATTGATTTTCATCATTGATGGTACTAGTGTTGATGAAAATGGAAACAATTTCATTTTCTTAAATAGCAACCTCCATTTTTTATTACATATTATGCAAATAGTAATGAGATATGAACACCATTTAGAAGCAATCTATAAACAGATAGATAGACAAAAAGACATGCGCATAACATACAAAGAGAACCCAACCAAAGGAACAATACTTAGGAATGAGATAAACCTCCTAAACACCAAGACAGCCAAGGAATATATAACAAAACTCATGCCACAATTGAAAAAATTTATATACTCACATAAAACACCAAATATAGGTTATGAAGGAAGTATACTATTTTTTTAATGTTAAATTTATTTACTTGATCAACTGAATACATGCTAATACTTTCAACATTCCAAAAAGTCTTCCTCAGACAAACAAAGCGAATACAAAGTTCAAATAGCAATTTTTAAAAATTTTTTACGTTGACAAAATACAAGAACGTGTTCTAAACCTAAATGCATAGAAAGTGCTAGAATTTGAACATGTTCAAAAAAGTTTTGATTAAAAATTAAAGCAAATATAAAGGATATTCACAACATGTGTAAAATGAGGTTAAATAAAATAAATAAAATACAGTAAAGGATTAACTAAAATAACATAAATGCAAAATAAGGCTAAAATAAAAATAAAAATCTAAAATTGAACAGAAACGCACTCGGCAAAATAAATAATCAAGTAACAAACACCTTATTCGTTGCCAAGGGAGTTTATTAAAAACTAACGTTTTTGATCTACTCTATAGATCATCCTCAGGTTGAAACATTCGAATTTGGAATAACAAAAAATAGAATACCAAATTCAAATTCAAAAGAGATAAATATCGACAACATAGCAACTAATTAAAATAAAAATTAAAGCGTAAAAATACATAAATGTAAAAATAAATAACATACAACTATTAAATATTATTATAAGCCACTAGTTAGATGGGAGGATGTGGAAATCATCAGACAAGTGCACTCCCCAACTTTAGCAAAAACTGCCGGAAAAATGGAAATATATAGGGGCAAGCTAGATGAAAAATGCATAAACATCAGAGATGTGAAGGGCCTACCCTCGGCATGAAAGTACGCCGTCAAAAAACTTAAAAAACTTACAAGTAGCTCTTGAATTGCACCATATTCGTAATCGCGTTATGGGAACCTTAATGATTTTTATTGGTTAACAGATAGTGGCTTATAATAATATTTAATAGTTTTATGTTATTTATTTTTACATTTATGTATTTTTACGCTTTAATTTTTATTTTAATTAGTTGCTACGTTGTTGGTATTTATCTCTTTGAATTTGAATTTGGTGTTCTATTTTTTGTTATTCCAAATTCGAATGTTTCAACCTGAGGATGATCTATAGAGTAGATTGAAAACGTTAGTTTTTAATAAACTCCCTTGGCAATGAATAAGGTATTTGTTACTTGATTAAAAATCTAAATATCAAAAATTAATAAGAACATAAAATTAAGGTTTTAAGTTTTTGTAAAGTATTATCTATACATCAGGGAGTTTGAGAGTGAAAGACTGACAGATTTTTACAATCATGCATAGTGTTAAGAAAAATAACATAAAAACAAAATAAGGTTAAAATAAATATCTAGATATTGATAATTAATAAGAACATAAAAATTAAGGTTTTAAGTTTTTGTAAAGTATTATCCATATATCAGAGAGGTTGAGAGTGGGTTATCGACATATTTTTACAATCATGGAAGTTGCTAGAAGTTGTCAAAAATGTTAGTTTTTATTAAATTTTTTTCTTTTGCTGTATTTTTGGTTTTTTTTTGCATAGGTTCTATTTTTTAGATTTATCAAGTATTAGTTCTATATTTTATTTCTAGTTATTAAATTTAATACAAGATGGCAATAAAATCNATATATATAACAACTTCCAGATGAATAGGATTCTGTGATTCAAACGTCAGTATTCAATTCAAGTAAATATTTGTATTTAATATCAAAAAAACAGTATATTTCCTCTATAGCTCTTGCCATAGCCGGAAGGTATCTTAAATTTACTCAATACATTTTTTATCTTAATTAAACTTTTAGTGAAATGCTTAATTAATGTGAATGCCTGTCAGTTCTTTCCTATGGTAAATGATATTCAAAGAATCTCCATTTTGCATAATGCATAATTCAATTCTCTGTCAGAAATGTCTCATAGTTTTTGATAAAAACATTTTGTGGCATGTTTCCACAAGCTTTTTGAATTCTCCCTATCATATCTTCACATTTACAAGGAAAAAATAAGGACCTATTAGATAACCAACCCATTTATAATGTTTTTGTATCATCAATTTCATTATTTGAAGAAAATGAATGATTCCACTAAATAATAACAGTTTCATGATTTTTTAAGTTTTCTTTTTCTTTTTAAAGTACTTTACTGATATCTACAGATGCACATATGTACAGTGTGGTGGTTTTGAAAAAGCTGAGCTCAGCTTCTGATAAGTGCATCTTTCAAAAAAAATGTTCTAGATAAAAGTTTAATTGTTTTTGACATAGACTCATAATATGCAATAAAAAAATGAGGTTTCTATTTAAGAAAATGAAGTTGATTCCACTTTCACCAGCCATAGTGCCACCTATGATGAAACCAATAGCCCCAACTTAAAGTCTAATGTGTTTGATTCAATGGTTTTTTTGTAGGATGTGGATTGATTAAAATGGACTACTCTGTATAGTGTCTAAAGCATCTATAAACATTTTTTATTGTATAAACGTTATTTACCAGAGGAACGAAGACAAGTTAAATTACGAAGTTGTAAACCACCTCCACATAAGGGTTTGAATATTTTTTGTTGATAAATAACAACACAATCACTCCATTCTGATGCTACCCATATATACCTAAATTAAAATAAACAACAGCTTTATATTTTATTAATCAATAAGTTAATTTCAACAATATTTATATTTTATCTACCATTTTAACATTTTCACATTTTTTTAATTAGATTAAAAGGATTTAACCAAATTTAGTTTATCAGTATCTCAGCTTAAACACACACACACACACACACACACACACACACATATATAATTTATATGGTATATATCACTTACTTTTTGTTAATTTTTTAAAATACATTAAGAAAATAAAATAAATGTTTATGTGATTTTAGAAATAAATATATAAAATATTGAGAAATTTGTTCACCATGTTTTCAAGAGGAATGAATAATGTAAGAAAAAAATTTATAAAGCTTAAATACTTTACATAATATTCTGAAATAATAGTATATTTTAATGATGATAAACTAATAAAATACATAAAATAAAAACATGTAGATGCATGAAATAATAAAGTGCATATATATTTCAAGTTCATTAGCACTTATATACACTTGCATGTACAGTACATTAAACTCTAAAACAGACAATACAGTGCATACAAATTCTATATGCAAATTTACTGCTCCAGGTTAAAATATTAACAACCATTTGTTCAGAAGTCAAAATTTAAATTCATATTTTTACAATTATAATCATGACTATATCCCTTGTTTTCAATTGTATGCATCTGATTTTCTAAATAATTCTTCCCATTTATGTAAATAGTCTGACACTTTCTCTAAAGAATATAGTGTCTGAATTGAGAGGCGTTTTTTCATTACTAAAGGGCATAAGTTTATCATTAAAGTTAACATAAGTTTCAATTTAATCAACATTAATGATAAGTTAGAAAAAAAATGGAATTTTCATAATTACAGTATTATAAAAACTGAAAGGGTAAACAAACATATATTTATTTCATAAACTTTTATCTAAAACTTTGCATAAATTAATGACGAATGGAATTCTGAAATAATTCTGAATAAAATATATATCATTTTGCTTTCAGTAAAGAGCAAAAAATAATTTCTAATTTTTTTTCAGATGTTTTGCTAAGGAAATTACCTTGGTTTCTAATTTGAAATGAAATCAATTATGAACTATAAATACAATATATTCTTCAGTATTGTAAAAATAAATATAGTGGATTTAAAATATTGTGTACATAAACAGTCCTTCAGAAAAATTGCAGTAGAAAAACCATAAAGGTTTTGATATAGTCAAAAATATCCAGTGGAATTCAATATGCCATGGAAGCTAATTTTTATAACTCTAAACCCTTTAATCTTTATGGTGGGCACTAACAAAATTTTTTAATACCCATCATAGATTCTCCAGGAGTGAACTCAATGGTTGCCAGTGTGGAAGGTTAAAGCTAGACATTTCTGATTAAATCATCTATGAAAGTTTTTACTGAGGTTCAATCTGGAATTAAATCCAGCTTCCTGAGGATGGCAAGTTAATTTCTTTCCCTCCTGGGACATACAGTAACAGTCATAATAATGACATAAATGCTGTCAGTGCACTGGAAGATCTTTCAGCACATTGAATATTTTTTTATTGCAAATGCTTTGAAAGATAATTTTTTACAAAATACTGTATAAACATTGTAGTTTTATAGTAATGTGGAACAGTAGTGAACTCAAAATTTAATCTTGATAAGCCAAGTTAAACAGGTAAAAAACTTTTTAATGCAAATTCAATAAAATTCCTACTTTATGTGACCACTAATTTATAAGTAATAGAAGACATGACATAATATAAATAAAAATAAATTTTAATTAATTGTGAAGAATTTACTAGTGTTATTTTCCTTTTACTTTGGAGTGTACCAGGGCCCCTTGGCCCTCTCTGGATGCACTACTAATGTAAAAACTCTAGAATTTATCTAATTACTAAAGTTTATAGAAAATTTTTTATTCTGGCCTAACTAGCTCTGGATTTTACTTTATAAATAATAGTTCAAAAATAATAAGATAAATCATTCTGTATAAAATAATGTACATAAAGCATTATTTCATTTAAGCCTTATTGAGATATTGAAGGTTTTATGAAAATCATTACACATAAAACCAATATCCAGCAAGTAACTACAGAAATCTACAAAAGCAAACATTTTCAGCCTGATGATAACTGTTCAATGTGGATGAAAACATTTGCTTTTGTAGACTTTTGTAGTTAATTGCTGGATATTGGTTTTGTGTGTAGTGATTATTTACATATACCCAATTGGAGTTGTTAAATTGAGAGTTTTGTACATTTCTTCTTATATATGAAGTATTGAACATTAACATGTATTAAGCAAAGACAAAATGTTCTACTTTATTTTTTAAGTGAAAAAAAAATTATTTGTTGCACATGTTTTTACATATCTGCAGCTTGCATTTCATGATGCACTAAAGTGAGAAAAAATAATGAAAGTGAACTGTAAATATTGTATAGGGAAAAATTGGGTAATGATGCTCAGCAGGCAATCCTACTCACTTAGGTATCTTGAAGCAGAATGGAATTATGAATGTCTGATTAATGTGGCCAGCTAACAAATGTCATCATAAGTCTACGATCATGTAATAGTCACCATCAGAAGCAAAGTTTCTTTTGTTCATGTGTTGTTTTTGAGGTGATCTCTTAAAAAATTTTGAAAATTTCAACTGAGGATAAATACATCTTTATTTTAAATTGTTAGTTTTAATCATTATATCTATAAACTACATATATTTATTTTCCCATTTCTGCTTATTGTTTAATTTATAATATGTTGTTAGGCCAACCAAAAAGCATCAAAATCCAATATGGTGATGAAAGGGTAATGACACTCACATAAGCTAAGTACAACAATCAGTACCTCTAGGTCAGTGGTTCTTAACCTTTTTATACTCGCAGCCCATCAAATATTTCATAACTTTTTTGTGAACACCATTTTTTTAAATAATAATTTATACAGTGAAACCCTGGTTAACGAACTTAATCCGTTCCGCGACTCCGTTCGTTAACCGAATTGTTCATTAACTGAAGCAATTTTTCCCATAGAAATTAATGTAAATGCAATTAATCCGTTCTAGTCTCCGAAATTTTTGTGATTTTATTTGTAATATACAGTAATTTTCTTTGATGAAAATGTAAGAAAACGTAGTATATATCATTACAGCAACAAATATGTAAACTTTGTTTAATAAACTAGCACTGTACATACCTTCGTTTGTTGTAGTTGGTGGCAGAAAAGTGGAGATATACGAACCTTAATGCTTAGAAGGGGAATCCCCTCCAAAAAAATAACGGGTAGCATTTCATTGGAAGATTCTTCCAGTCGAAGTCTCTGTCGGTAAAAAA